TACTGTTATTTCTTTTCGGTTAGACAGTTGAACTCTCTGCCTCTGAGCAGAGAGGAACCCGGACGAGGCTCAGCGCAAAGGGCAGAGTCTTGTTTGGGGAGGTTGACCAACTCGATCACATTATGCGGGTTCTACAGGCATTTTTTGGCTGAGCACACGGGCTCGGAGAATGCACATTAAACCCAGCCTTGTGCCACATGCAACCCTCGTGGTGGGAAGGCTAAATATAGTCATGAGTCAACAGTCATTGGTTGCTGTCTACTTCGGCCCACACCTTGCTCTGCCCACATTGTGTTTCTTGATCACAGAGCTGATAGGGATTGATTAATCGCCAGTATTGTAGTGCTGATTCAAACCACGGCGAGCCTGTATTATGAAAGGGAAAATAAAAATATAAAAAGCCTTCAGGTCAATTTTCGATTTGGTTTCAGTGATTCTTGGTATAACAAAATTTAACCCTCCCCACCAGAATCTCTTTAGTGACATTTTTGCCTATCAGTGCAAATTCTTCGAATAGGGCTCAGTCAGGAATTCTCTTGGCAGCAGGTCATGTGGATTTCAGCAACTCCACTGTCTTGTTTGCGTCTCTTGCCATCTCTGGCTCCAATTGCAACTCGAACTGCCTGGGTTACTGAAACATGCTGCTTTTATAGACTTTGACTTAAAATTGGAATGGAGGATGATGGTGTTTGGGAATTTGAGGTTTCTCCAGGTTTCTGTGTTGGATCTAAACAAATATTCTTTTTTTTTTTGTCTGGTTTGTAATAATTATCTCTCCAAATTTTGGAGATCCCCTCCTTTTATGGGTAGTGATTGTAGGCATTGGACCACCCATATAACTAATTCCTTATATTCTCTATGCCTCGCACCATTACTTCTAATTGGGTTGTGGTAAACCCACCACCTTTGTCAACTCTGACTTTCAAACAGTGTGGGCAGAAAGGCAATCTTAACTTTTAGTCATTAATTGTAATTATCTTAATTTTCAACAACTAATTGTGATTATCTTCTCAATTTTCAACAATTTTTGTTTATGCAATCAGCTTGCTCGTTTAATAGTATCCATGAACATTACAGGTTCAGGTTTATTATCTGAATTCCTTCAATGCAGGATAAAATTCTATTTCTCAACTTGTTTACATGTCCAAAATTGATGAGGCCATTTCTGCTCACTAACAGACAGGCATAGTGAGTCCCTTTATTTTGCTTTTGTCCTCAAAATTATAAACTAATCTCAAAATGCACTTCCTTTATGAGACCTTCCATCTGGCCTCTGGCAAAGTCTTTTCCCAAAACCAACAAAGTCATTCTCCCCAGATCTGCCCCTTCCTCCTCTTTTCAGTTTACATGTTATTCCGTACTTTTAACTCTCTTTTTGTCTGTTCCAGTTTATATTCTAAATATTAATCTTTTCCTTTTACCAGTGTCATAGTCATTTGTTCAATATTGGATGATCTCAAGAAAATTAGCAAGGTGAACAGACTCAATAAATAAGCTTCACATGAACTTGGTGAATGTCAAAGTGTTTGAAATTTAAATGATCCATTTCTTGATTGAATAGTAACTTGTGATAAGAAATGGATCCTTTATGACCATCATAACTGATCAGCTCAATGGCTTGAACATTAGGTCCAATTCTGCTTCAGGACAATGCTCAGGATGACATTGCAGGAGCTCACTGTCTTTGCTACATCCACCATATTCCCCTTGTCTCTCACTCATTGATTACCATTTATTCAGGCATCTTGACAATTTTTTAAGTCAAAAGACATTACATTGTAAAGATGCATAAACTGTATTCAATTATTTCTTATCATCCAAACCATTAGTTATCGTAAATGCATAAATAAACTTGTAACTTGATGGTAGAAATGTATAAATGCTCAAGTTCCCTATTTTGACTGATTCAAATGTTGTTTAAATACATTAATTTCAGAATAAACATTAAATCTAGAATCAGACATTATTTTTGGAATAAGAATAACCTAATATTTTCATTTGTTTCCAAAGCATTATTTTAAGTTTTAAGGATTCTTTTATTTTTTATTTTTTTTTTTTTTTCTTTTTCAATCAAATTTTCTTTTTTTTTTTTTTTTAATTCAAGCTTTCATTTGTAAATACATTTACTTCTCTTTTGAATTATTAGCTACTAAATAAGACAGATGTAGGCATATACCTATTTATTTATATCTTGGTTTATCCTTTGTTTTCTGTTTAGGCCCCTTGCACCTCAGTGGCAGTATCACCTTGCTTGGGGTGAATTGCCTAAAAAGAAAAATCTATCAGTTTACCTACCTACCTATATATATATATATATATATATATATATATTTGGTTGGATAGATGTGAGTTTGTGACCCTGGGTTTCACGCTTTAGCGATCGTCAGACAAACTGATTCATTTTTTAAAATTTTCGGTTTATGTAGATTGCGTGTATTGGTGTTATTATGGAAGTGGTGGGGGAAATGTCGTCATCGTACTAATGCAGACACATATACATACTTTGTTATCCATTAGGATTCATACATATCTAAACATATGTGGGCAGTTTCGGATACGACATATGTATGTATACGGGTGGTATTGTGTCTATACATACGCATTTCTATGTTGAAATTCAAAGATTGGGAGTGGAGCGAAAATTTCTCGTGAATGTATATATGTCATATTTTATGTTTCCCCCACCACTTCCATAATAACACCAATACACGCAATCTACATAAAACCAAAATTTTAAAAATTAATTAGTTTGTCTGATTTATCGCTAACGCCAAGAAACCCAGGGTCACACTGCATCTATCCAACCAAATATGTTAGCTCTATCTCTGATATTGAGCTTTCTAATAAGTACTACGCATAATATATAAATAATTATATATATATATATATACACACACACACACACACACACACATATATATATATATATATATATATATATATATATATATATATATATATATATATATATTATTTTAGAAGATGGATTTAGATATTTTCAAGACTTATTTAAGATATGGCATGTTTTATACAGCATTTCAGGTTTCTAAAAATAAGAGAGTGGGGAAATAAGATAGACAGAAATAGATAATTACATGAACACAAGAATTTTTGTCTTAAAAAAGGCAACACCCTCATGATGCAATATCTTAGAATTAGATATCTTCAAGACTTATTTATTTTCTGAAATATAACCTTTCCACATTATTAAATATTTATTATATTTATAAAGATTAAAGAAAATATACTGTTTATTTATTCATAAGGAATTTTATGATTAATTTCCCTTCTTGAACCCCCCCCTTTTTTTTTTCTTCAGTGTGATCATAATATTCATGAACATTTAATACTGTTTCATGATATTGTGGATTTTCACACTTGGCTTTGCTAAACGCCCATTAGGTGGCACTGTTTACTTCTGTAAAAAAAAAAAAAACAAACAAACAAACATTTGCTTCCCCTTCTGTCAAGATGTATCAGAGCTTAGATGAGATTGTTCCCACTGGAGCACCATCATTTCCCCAGTTGACTGATGACTGAACTCATGGACATACAAACATGTGTATCACACACACACACACGCATTGTTAATAGTTAGATTTTTGATGTATTTTCCTTTCCTTTTCAACTGTGTACACATTAATGTAATTTCTTTTGTTAATAAATGAATTGTTGTTTATTTAATTACATGTTTTTGTGACTTATATTTACCCAGACACACATGAGTCTTCCAAATATTGTATGTGGGACAAATGTGTGTGTGTGTGTGTGTGTATATATATATATATATATATAATATAGATATATATATATATAATTGATAAAATTGGCGGGGGATAATCATTTATAGTAATTCCTCGAGTCTAGAAGAATCCTCAACAGAAAGCAGAAAACACTGGACAGCCATTTCATCCTATTTGGGATTCATCAGCAGTGCAGTGCACATCCACTATTGAGAATCGAACCCATATATATATATATATATATATAAACTTTTAAAAAATCATTTTGACAAAAAATAACATTTGTTAAAGAATGGCTTAAATTAACAAAATGTACTTAAGGCAATTTTCTAAAAATGAAACTGCAGAGTAATTTAAGGCATAAAATAATTGAAATACCAATCTTTCTGCTTTTGCAGTTTCTACCAATAAGGTATCATCAAGCAGTATATATATAATATATATATATATATATATATATATATTTTAATGCCACTAAGATGCCATGCCTTACTGAGAATGAAATAGAATGAGAAAACTTTATTGAGGAGAAAGGACAATAAAAAAAACACTATTCAGGAAGACAAGAGGTCAGTTGGAGTTGTATATGAATTTTTGAATATCATAGGTGGCAGAGAAGCAAGAAAATTGAAGAGTTTCACAGAAAATATACTATTAAAACAGAACATTCGATTACATCTAGCTATTTCAGCAGTAAAATGATGAGACCTAACTGCCAATCTAGTAGTACACTTAAATTCCTTCAGTCAAGGTATCAAGAAGGAGAGCTCATTAGAACAATTGCCATGAAAATTTTTTAGAAAAGACAGAAACCATGTTATGGTGGTGAGAAAGTGACTGAAGTCAAGATGCCAGGTCAGATCCAATAATGTTGCAAACACTTTGGATTTTTGTCAAGATATATAGCAGGAGCACCAGACCAAATATGACAGCAGTAGTAAATGCAGGGACGAATAGTAGATTTATAAATGTGCAAGAAGGACTCTGATACGACACAGTGAACCAAGTTTCCTAGCAGTAGATTTAGCAATTGATTCAATATAAGCACTCCATTTCATGTCAGTGGAAAAGGGGAGACCAAGAAGGCACAAGGAGTTGTTACAAATTGTAGGTGAAAACCCTGTCCACTGCTACTATGTTAGGCTAAATAATTTCTCACATTCAATTATTTAAAATTCTTTTATTATCATATGTCTTTGACCCTGAAATTGTTTCTTCTGTTTATGATCTTTATATTGTGTTTGAATTTTTTTCCAGCTCGTGAATCTGGTTCTTGTAAAAAGAAACATCCTTGTACTGAAATGGATTATTATGAATATGAAACTCCCTGTGACAAAGGCGGACAAGTAAGCATTTTTTTTTTCCTTTATATTTATCAAGTTCAGTTAGCATAAGGATATGAACACAGAAAGCGGAATTGATAAGCCCAGTACCATTTTCTACCTAGTTTAGTAACTTTCAAAGTAATTCTCTTGAGAAAGGCATGAACCCTTCTCTTCTTCTCCTGCCAGCTATGAATTAACTAGCAGGGCAGCAAGTCAGAAGAACAGCATGAAATTAAAACCATGGAGAAGGCATTATCTTTCCCAAGAAGTCATGGCAATTCACAGATAACAAACAAAAGGACTGTCCTGGGTATGACGATAAACTACATACATGTCCTGGGTAAAACGATAAACTACGTCCAACAGCAAGGAGGTTTTGAGGAGCGTGGAACCACAACTTAATTGCCGGTGTTTCCAGGTCCACCCTGACCTGGGGTGGTAGCACCTGTTAAGGTCCCAGCTATGGACAAATAGTTAATCCCCAAACTGGGGTCAAAACACTATGAAAGTGTAAAAAATAGGTTTTAATACCAGAAATGCTTTGTAAAAAAAAAAAAAATTATTATAGATTTTTGAAAAAGAAATATTGCTAGCAATACATTTTTGAAAAAGAAATATTGCTAGCAATACATTTTTGAAAAAGAAATATTGCTAGCAATACATTTTTGAAAAAGAAATATTGCTAGCAATACATTTTTGAAGGAAAAAAATATTACCAGCAATACATTTTTGAAGGAAAAATTACCAGCAATAAAAATTTTGTCAGCATTAAATAGCCTGTTGAAGTTGATATGGTGTAAAACAAACCAAACCAAACAAAAGGAATATGTGAATAGTCAAGACTGTTGATATACTAAAAGGACATGACATTTAAAAAAAAAAAAAAAACAAATTATCAAATATTTTTTAAAATCATTTTTAAATAACTGTTATGTCATAAATAGCAAAGGTTGGCACAGCTATAGAAAATAAGAACCAGTTTATTCCGGAGAATAACATGGTACACGGTTGAGAACACAGACTAATATAATAAACAGTTAACTGTTAAATCCTCTTGCTTGGTAAGAGAGAGTGCTGTTTAAATGGTGTTGGATGAGTCCTTCATGTGGGGGTGTTCAGCTACTCCACAAAAATAACCTATTTATTTATATTATTGACATGCAGACCATTACTCTCATCTTTGTTATTATAATGTTCCTTCTATTGTGTCGTCTTACCTTCATCAGGTGCTTGTTGATCGGAATAATCTTCTGGGAATTTCAAACTGAGCACTTTATTTAATCTATGGGAGTAGATTATTCTCATAAGAACAATCTACCTCATAGGTTAAATAAAGGCTTCAATTTGAAATTCTCTAAAGGTTACTCTGTGCAATAAGTACCTGATGAAGGTAGGTTACAAGAGCCAAAATGTTGTGATGATAACAAATATGAGGACAATAGTCAGCATGTAAATAATGTAAACACCTCATCCCACAAATTGAGGTAGAAGTCAATCCGGTGATAATAGCAACAAAAATCAAGACAATAGTCCACATGTAAATAATGTAAATAAGTCCTCATCCTAGTAATTTAGATAGAAATAACATATTTTTAAAACAATTTTTTTTATCCTTAATAATGCAGTTTTTAAAAAGTACTAAAGCTTTTTTTTTATTTATTTTTTATTTTTTTTAAGTTGAATTGCAACCAAGAAAATTTTGTGCCTAAGAAAGGTTATTTATTTCTTTAATGTTGCCAGTAACAATTGATTTTCCTTGCCTGTAGCCAGTCAGAATTAATTCAAGTCATCTGACAGAAATATTTCATTGCAGTTTTGGATTTATGAACTTCTTTACTTTCCCAATAATCAGATGGCTTTCAATTCCTTTGTTATACACTGCTTCAAATTAGATCTTTTCTGATTTGCTCTACATGTTGGCCAGATGGGAACAAAAATCCAAAAATAAAAAATTGTCCTCTTTACAGTATCACCGAGCATCACATCCAGCTCACAAAACCAATCCCCTCAAAAAAAATATGATATAAAAGAACATTAAAGAAAAAAGCATGAAAAAAAAATTTGTTTATACGCCACCTCCATTTGCTTTTAAAAATGATGCTCATAACAACTAAAACACAATTGCTACCATACATGTGTTTATAACATTTATCACAGCTGAAGCCTATCAATATAAGATTATAGCATTTATCCAGAGCTGATTTACTTTTTTTTTTCAAATACATTTTGTAATAAATTTAATAATTTTAAATTTCCAAAATTAATAATGTTAAGACATCCTCCTGAACAGTCTCCAAAATAACACTTATGTAAAGAGAAATTATACACATTCATGCTTACTACTATATACCAATTTACTAAGCATAGGTTAGATTAGGCACAAGGCCGAATGTATGGAGCTCACAGTGAGGATCGATCTCACCACTCAGTAATTTATCTAACAAGACAAGCCTAGTAACCATTACACTACATCGAAGTGCCCAAATGAGTATTCCTATATCTACTCAAATATTTTGCAATATCTTCTGACCATCCGCAGGGTGACACACATTTTTTTTTTTTTTTTTTTTTTTTTTTTTTTAGCACTGAATATTTTAGTAACCTGTTAGTAAGTGATTTCTGCAAGTATTTGCCTATGAATCACATGAATTTAAAATGACTGTATTCATCATTCCTTATTTAAACGTCTTTTAACCCATTAATTTACACTGTCCCTGGTTGGCATTAATGCACGACAGGTAGAAACCTATAATTAATACCGGATTTCACGATGGGCATTGTGTTAAGTGCCTGCTGTTATTGTAGGGGGTGTATGTCGACAAATGGTTAATGATATGGGATCAATAGTGTACATTATTGTATATTATGCGTACAAATGCTTCTTGACAAGACAGATGCACGTGAGGAAAAGAGAACAGCACAAAAAATAAAAATTGAAATTTCTTTTTCTGTTTCATATTTCATCTCTCAGGAAGCATAAATAAAAAATAAAAGATGTTAGCTTTATAAATGTTTCCTGTTTGTTCCTTATTCTATCAATCAATATTGTCACATCCTCAACTTTGTTAGAGGCAACAAAAAGAATGTTTTTGTCTTAATTTCTGCGATGAGGAGTTATTATTTATATTATTTGTTGTTGGTCTAACATCCTCAATTTTATTGTTGTTATCACTTGTTTTCTTTTACTTGTTCCTGCAGAGATTCTAATGTCACCACATTCATTAACTAATCCTTTAATCTGATTTTGGTGGATACAGTTGCCTATATGCAACATTATCAGAAAATAAGTGTGATAATATCAAATAGCTGTCAACATAAATAAACAGTTACTGCTGTGTTAAAAATATGCATTTCTATGATATTTTAAAAATGTAAAATAATTAATAGTTGTTTCAAATCAGATTAATTATACTTGAAATCTGCTAATATTCTTCAAAAAAAGTTTCAGAAAAGTATATTTTATTTTTGAAAATTTTTTTTTAATAAAAAAAATTTTTAATTTTTTTATAACAGTTTACTCAAAATGGTGCAAAATTCAAAAAATTTTAGAAATTTCTAAACAAAAACTCCTTCCGATCAATTTAAATTAATTTTGAAATACAGCAGAGTATTTTTGCTTATTGGAAATATTAAATTTATTAGCTTGAAATAAAAACTAAAATAAAAGCTTCAAGAAAGATTTTTCCTTATTACAAATTCATTTTAAACATTAGGTATCACATTTTGTAGAGATACCTAAAACTGAGAATAACATTCAGTTCACTGTTCAAACAACATTTAACAAGGCTCAAAAAATATCTTCAGACAAAAGAAATTTCCTGTATGGTTTTTTATGTACTATAGGGAGGCTGATATTTTTATAATTTTAAATAATAAACACTGCATTAATCAGTTGTTATTCTTTCAAATATTCTTTCTAGTTCTTTCACTTACTCTTTCCTTCTTTTATTGAGTGGTGGAATGTTTGGATGGCATGAAATAAACATCAATGGTCACCTTATCAGACACTTGGTCCACTTTCAATTTCACTATTCAGTTCTGTTTCATCAGTAATGTCTTTGCAAATCATCCTTTCAAAATTTCAAGTTTTACTTTTTTAATTATTATTTCACTAAATATTTTTATTTTATGTATTTATTTTATTTTGGGTCATATTTCAATTAAGTAATTTTTTGTTTATGTTAGTAAACTTAAGAACCTAGAAAAAAATGAAAATTTCATAAAGCATCTAGAAACCTAACTAAAAGTTAATATTAAATAATGGGTGAAAATATGTTAATTTGTAAAAATTACTAGGTAGTTAAAAAAAAAAAAAATGTGTTCACTTAGAGTTCATAAATTGATGTCATTTTTGTCATCCATACTAGCTGTCATCACCTCGTAACTTATCAATATGTCAATAAAGATCAAAGAAAGACAAGACCCATTAAGAAATTCTTGTATATTACTTTTTTGCTATAAGTAACATTTATTTCAAATCAGATTAATTCAACTTTAAATTTCCTAATTTTACTCAAATAACGTGTCACAAATGTATATTTTTATTTTTGGAAGATTTTTAAAACTGATAATTTTGTTTTGTTTACAAATTTCTTAAAATTAAAAAATGGCCACTTTTAAGAAATTTTTTTTTTTTTTTTTTTTTTTAAATTGAGCAAATATTTGACATTCCAATCTATAATTTTTATCTGAAATACACCAGAATATTTTACTTACTGGAAATAATAAATTTAATCATTTAGCTTTCAATTAAAGCGAAAATGAAATCTTTGAGAATGCTTTTTCATTTTTAAAAATTCATTTTAAACCTTAGGTATCAAAAATTCAATTGACATAGCTTTTTGTAATTAATTTCAAAAAACTTTTATTCTGTCATAATTTTCAAGTTGTTCTGTCAATTTAAGTGATTCAGCATGATTGAAATAGTTTTTTTTTTTGAGCAATGGCAAAAAAAAAACTAAACATAGTCTAACACAAGAATTTATTAAGAAACTTAAGTTGAGACCCATTGAATCTCCCAGACACCCACCCAAATCACCACCTTTGGGTCCCAGGGACTCACTACATTAAAAACCTATCAGCATCACTGCTATCTCTTTATAAATGTTTGCTTACTAGAAAACATTGTGTTAAACTGTATTCAAATTTATCCAATGTTTATTACATCTGTATATACTCTTCAGTTTTGTTCAAATGAAATCATGAACAGAGAAAATATGCTTATATCTTCTGATGGCCTTTTCTTTATTGTTTAACTCTTGATAAAATATTTTATGTTTCTCTTTTCCTGTAGACTCAAACAAAATATTTATGGATGAAACCGAAACGTTGCCGTACTGATTTGCCAGGAGCTAAGCAACTTCCAGCCCCTGGCAAAATGGAGCGATGTCCTCAGTGCAACCCTGGAATGATGCTTATTCCTGGGGTTGGATGTCAATTTTGTAAAAACGATGAATATTCCGATGGTGCATCACCTTGTGAGAAATGCCCTGTATCTACATCGCCTCAAATAGGATACACTTACAAATGGTGGAACTCCATGCCGCCCAATGTCACTTCTCATTGTTTCAATTTTGAAGGTAAAGTTTTTCAAGGCTCATTCTTTTTTCAGCATCATTTTGTTTTTGTCCCTTTCTCTCCTATTTTTTTTTTCTTTCAAGTTTTATTTTTTTCTCTTGTCTTTGATTGGTTTCCAGTCCTAAAACAATCAAATCACCACCTCCTTATTAATAGACAAAAGTGAATTTCAGTCTTTACTTGTATTTTAGAAGCATTTAAGTTAGTTAGCTTATGGCCATATCACATTGAAACACTGGTTTTCCTCATTAGGACTTGTATTAGTAAATCATTTTTATCTCTCCAAAATTCATAGAATCTAAAATATTTTCTTGTAGATTTTGCTTGTTGGTAGTGTGGGTTATTTACTTATGCTGTAGTAGTGGGAATTTTAGGCTTGGTTTACAACGATAAAAACAGGAAAATAAATGTACACAATATAGAAAAAGCATAGTAAATTGTATGTTAATTTCATACAATTTTATATATGTATTTACATGTATTTTTATGTTACAGTAGTATTACAGTAGATGTTATAAAAGGGAGTAATTTACTCCATGGTATTACAAATCATATCACAGAGGGGAGTTACACATATGTTGTCTTCTTGACAGTTCTTGGGCAAAGAGATTGAATCTAACATCTTTTGGCAGGATATCTGTATGAACAGTTTTTTGTTGCATGCTGGGAGTAATTTTATTATTTTTATTTTTTTATTTAATTTATTTTAACTAAGGTTTAAATGTTATTGTTTTATTTTCTATCTTCTACTAATAGTGAGTAATAATAATTTGTGTAACTGTTGATGCTTTCTTCTGACTAAAAAAAGTATAACTTAAAATGTTTTATGCAATTTGGTTTCAGAAAAAGAATGTGTCACAAATTCAGGTTGGATGCCAGCAAAGGAATATGTCCGTACGCAGTATGGCCCAGGTGAACTGGGATATTTGTTACTGGTCATGGAGGTACCTGGCTTCCGTGGCAACGAAGCTGTAATTTTGGATAAAGAAGTGAAGCTTAGCCAGCTGACCTTTGTGTTTGAGACAAACTGTTCTGGCCAGTGCTATCTCTACTTCATGGTAGTGAGTATCTGTTTCTCGTTGTCACTCTTGGAAAGTTCAAATTTCAGTGTTTACTTCTACTTACTTTCTGCAAGCATCATTAACCCGTTAGGCATCAAGTTCTTTTCTTAAAATAAGATTTTGATTAGAGTCTTTTAAAAGACTATCACAAAACAAATAGTTGATATGATGATATGATGATTTTATTATGATGAGAAAGATTTCTCAAAAACTGCTTTGCAATTACCTTAATGTTTTTATTGAGAAAGACATGCCTTACTAAAACCAGGTGAAAATAGTAAATTAGAATATTTAAAATGAATGTATACGGTCTGGTGCCCCTTCTGTTTGCCTTGGGGTTCTTGATAGGCTCCAGAGGCGGATATGCAATGTGGTTGGCCCTGCCCTGGCGTCTCGTCTACAGTCACTTTCTCACAGATGTACCATCGCCTCCCTCTGTCTGTTCTACAAATACTTTCATGGAAATTGCTCCGAGGAGCTGCATTCGCTGGTTCCCAGACGTCATGAGTTCCAGCGCCCTACGAGGCTGGCATCCCACTCTCACCCCTTCACTGTCGAAACTCCTAAATGTAGCCGTCTCTTCTACTCTAATAGCTTCATGTATCACACCTCTCACCTGTGGAACTCCCTTCTCTTCTCCTGTTTCCCTGTGAGCTATAATCTCCAGCTATTCAAGTGTAATGTCAATCGACATCTCCAGTTGCCTTGATCTATCCACTACCCTCATCCTTTCTTCTATCACTCCTATCTGATCTTGCTCTAAATTTTCTGTAATCCCTTGCGTCCTAGTGCTTGGGGTGAAATGCTTAAAAAAAAAAATATTAATATGTGTGCGTGTGTGTGTAAAATATGTCTGCTTATGGGTGTATCATCAGTGGTAGTACCTTTGCAGCAAAGCAGTCAACCCTGTTTTACTGAGGTGAATTGGGATGCAGAAATGTACTGGTCCATAGCCTACATCCAACTTTCACACATGGCTTCAAAAAGTTGCATGGGAACTGTGATGACCACACCTTGGTCAACAGCATCAACCTGCTAGCTAAATTGTGTGAGGGTAGTTGGATGGGATTGCCTCTTCCAAACCCACCAGACTTTACTAGTGGGTGGAGAAACTTTTGAGAGGAGGGACAGGGTAACCTCAACATCCATGGTGCAAAATGAACTGGCATGCTATTACACTATTTTGTCTTGAATGTCACCATGAATTGCAATTACAACAGAAATAGTGGGTGGAGAGTAGTAACCACAGCAGCGGTGCAAAATGCACTAACTGAATAAATGAATGAATGAATGAATGTACATATTGAACATTACTTTTTTGTTTGTTTTTTTTTTTTTTAATTCATAAGGAATTCAAATTTTATTTTCTAGGATCATCAGTCATCCAGGCCCAATGTTGTTAAAAAATGGTTTGGAACTCAACAGAAACAAAGTTTTGTGTAAGTATAATTAAGTTTTATCGAATATGAATCTATAAGAAATCCTTATGCAAGAATTTGTTTATATCATATTTACCTTTTTTAAATCATTCTGTTTTTTATTTATTTATTTTTTTTTTTTTTTGATATTGACAATATTTGGAATTTGAAACGTGTATAGTGTACTGGTTATTAGCATTTCAAATTCAAGCTGAGTTCATCATGTTCACTTTTGTACAAGATTCATCTCTTCTCCCACCAGCTATGGGTTAAATAGTAGGGCAGACTGGGCCCTATTGCCTTGTTTAGCAACCAGTCTACAAAAAAAGAAGACTGGATTCAGAAATAATTAGGCAAAAGGCTAGCAATTCCGTTTTTTTTGTTTTTTTTATCCATTTTCGCCCCAAGCAAGGCGATAATGCCACTAAGATGCAAGGGGTTGCTGGGTGGGTTGAAAGAAAATGAGAATAGTTTCAGAGAAGGAACTGTAAACAGGAAACAAGAAATAAACTACAACTCCTGTTCAAAAGATAGGGAAGGAGTGGGAACTGGACAATAGGCAAACCTATTGACTTATCCTTTTATGTGCTGTGTCCCTTCATGATGTAGGCAATTATGGCTCTCCACAATTTCCTGTCTGTTGTAGCTATTAATATATTTTGCCTTTTGTTATCTCCTAAACCTTGTTCCACCATCCATTTACTCCAACTCACTAAGTAGGTTATGCATTGTTTTCCTCTGTTCCTCTTGCCTTCAGTCTGTCCTGTGAGCATCATAGTTTCCAAGCTCTCTTTCCTCATTATGTACCCTAAAAATTTCAACTGTTTCTTCATGATGTTAAGTATGATCTTCCTTTTTGTTTCCATTTTCTTTAAAACTTCATGGTTGCTCACATGTTCGGTCCATAGTATTCTCATCATGCTTCTGAAGAATCACATTTCTGATGCTTCAAGTCTCTACTTCATCTTTGAAGACATTGTCCAGCATTCACTGCCATATAGGTTTGATATTATATAACAGTTCAGTACTCATCTCTGTTTCTAATGAAATTTTTCTGTTTCTTAATACTTTGTTTAGCTTTTGAAAGGCATCTTTGCCTATCCCAATCACCTTCAGATTTCAGTGTCACATTTTCTGTCCTCTCCTATTAATCTCATAAAAACTTACTTGCTACAGAAACAGCAACAACACCTCACATGGTGAGGCTGTGGCTTTAAACTACCCATGGGAGTTTCATAGCATTGAGAAGGAGGAGGAGGAATTATTTGAAAAATTGATTTCATAAAACTGAAACTGTATTGCCTAAATACACAAATATAAATATATAAGTCATGTAACTTGCTTCCCTTGTTTTGTGCCTCTTGAAATTATAAGTATACTATATATATATATATATATATATAAAGAACTAATCATACATAGAATCAATCAGCAATATTCATGCAATTAATGGTGAAATCACTTCGCTAGTAGAACATAATGTATGCATTAAAATACTGTTAATCCATTAAATGATGTGATCCTCATTTATAAAACTGATGTCAGATATTTCTAGTGTATATTTTTTAAGTTAAGCAAGTACTTTCGAAGACCATGTCTTCATCATCAGGCTGTAATTTTTTTCCTTTAAAGGAAACAATTATTTCATATTCAAGTTTTAACTTAAAAGGAAAAAAATTACAACCTGATGATAGACATGGTCTTCACTGCCATATTCACAATGTTCCAGCCATTGTACACTCCAGCCTTCTTCAGGTGATTGGAACACTTTATTTCCAAAAACTTGGAGAGTTGAGTTAAAGGGAAATAACTGAGACATCTGGAAGAGGCATGGCATGTAGATCTAGAACAATCTATCCCTGTAGATGAAATAAAGGGTTCGGTTCAAAATTCCAATCACCTGAAAAAGGCAGGAGCTTACAATGGCTGAAATGTTGTGAATATGGCAATGAAGATGAGAGTAACAGTCCGAATAATATAAGTAATTTTCATCTTAGTAAATTCTTTTCTCTTTTAATTTGTAAAAACAATTTACTAAAACAAAAATGCTACTCTAATTAAAAGAGAAAAAATTAACTGCCATATTAAACCTTTCCAAAATATAAATCTGTGACCTGGATTTTTTCAAATATCTCCTTTCCTAAAAGAAATACTATTTTCCCAAGCTTAAATGATTATAAAAAGTTTTAAAAATTAAAAGAAAATGGTTCAATTCAAAATCTATTATTTCAAATATATGATAAATAGATTAATTTCTCAAACTAAAATACTATAAATAATAATTACATTAAAAAAAAAATTCAACAGAAATAACATCTACTGACTTTCATTTATTAGACATTAAATTACATCACTTAGCATCTTCCATAATTTACCTTGACTTTTCACTCGGCCTGCTGTATATTTATGAGCGTTCTTAAATTTAAAATTTTGTAAAATTAACATCATTTTTCCTTTTATTTATAAATACTTGTAAAACAAAATCCTTACATTTGCCTTGATAAAGTCCATCAGAAGACGAAATGTGTTGGCTAAAAAACGTTTTCCTTTTCATTTCATATTGTCTTTTTACAAATATGTTTTTAGTACTGTCTAAATTTTGACGTATATATGTATTTCTATTATTTTCATCATTAGCTTTCCTATTATGCGAAATGGGACCACAAAGTTCAGTTGGATTTTCATGCACTCACAATGGATTTCTGACAAAGGACGTGACATTGGACAGATGTACATCACTGATTATGCACGAATTTATTCAATTGAAATCACAAATACAATTACTGGTGGGGCAGGAAGTTGTCAGAAATGTCCAATTGGAACAAGACAAGATGGGTAAGTAGCTACATATGCTATTTCTCTCGTATATCATTTTTGTTTTTCACCTGCTTAATTGGCTTGTGAAAAATTCCAGTAACTTTTAAATAAACAAGTTGAAATTAAGAGATAAGCACGTTCATATTATCCCAGTGAAGGTGAAACAGGAAGGCTATAGAAGTTGTCAGTCGGGTTGTTAATTGCTAGTAGCACAAAATATGCAAACTGTAATTTATACAGCAAGGAAAATGCAAGTTGACTTTTAGTATCATAAAAGACAGAATATATACATTATTTACATTACCCCGGTGAGCGAAATAAAGGGTTCAGTTCGACATTCCAACCACCTGAAGAAGGCCGGAGTGTACAACGGCCGAAACGTTGTGATAAATATGGTGACAAAGATGAGGACAATAGTCCGACTAATGTAAATAATGTACGTAATACCTCATCTCAGAAATATAGACATACTTTTCTTTTTGTTTAAGCCATTTTAAAAGGATTTTTTGTCATGTATACAGTTTATTACATGGGCAATAAAAATGTACCTATTCTTGATAATTGAGACTTTCATTTGCATAATAATCCTATTGTTAGAATGAATATGTTCAACACAGATCTAGAATTCTATTTTACAAAAAAACTATTTTTCACAAACACACACACACACACACACACACACACTACAGTTCAAAAGTTTGTGGCAACCCCTGGTATTTTTTTAAATTGGCCCCAAAAGTAGCTGTTTTTGTAGATTAAATAAGAACAAATTATTATACATGATTAAAGTAAGTGAGGCATGATTTTTTTTTTTATTATTATTAGAAATTTTATTATGACAAAAAGAAAAAAAGCATTTTATGATTAAATTTTGCTCTGGTCAAGATATCCTCCTTTAGCCTTGATTAGTGCAGCACAAATTTTTAGCATTCATTGCAAAATTTTCTCCAAGTATTAATTTGATAATTGATTCCATTCTTTTTTCCAATGACTCTAAGAGCTTTTTCTTTTCTTTTTTTTCATTCTTTTGTCAAGTTCAGCCCATACTAATTCTGGGTGGCTTCAAAATTTTTGAACTATAGTGTGTATGTGTGTGTAAAATAATAAGTGGACACTGATGTCAATACCCAGTAACAACAGTCTGTTTCATGCTTAAACACAATCTTCAGGCTCATGAAACAAACTTACGCTGCTTGGTGTTGACCTCAGTGTTCACTTTTATGTTTACACACTCTGTTCCTGATAACTCATGAACATAGCATACCATAAAACTATATTATTATCATATGCAGTATTTTCATCGTCTTTTTCTTAGTTTTTGATTAGTTCTAAAAAAAAATGTTACTTCAAATCTTAGTGTTTATCATAGAAATTTTGAGACTCATATTTTCTTCAGATTTGGTATTTCTTTTTTTTTTTTTGTATTTCATTGCACTTCTGGTATGCCATACAATTACAGTGAATTCCAAATAAGGAAAATTACAACAATTACAAACTTAATTGTTGGACAGTCAGAAAATTTGTCTCAAATATTTTTTGTGCATGTTGAAGATATCAAAATCTTAGGTTCTAGAATTGAACTTATTCTTGAATATATAAGAAATTATTTTTTAAACCTTTCCAGATTTTATGCAATCTTTTCAGAAAATCAATTTGAAGTTATGTAGGGATAAAAATAAAAATGAAAGCCATTGACTAAACCAACAATAATCTATTCAAAGAAATGGCATACAAAATTGCTCATGATGAGTGGGGTGAAAAAGCAAATTGGCAAAGTAAAATTATCTATATGTAATTTCCATTCTCTCTGATTCTCTCAATTTCTTCAGGGATAATGGCTTTGTAAATAGCTAATATTACATCTCCATAGTTCATTATTAGATACAAATTACTTGCCACTCTCACTCTGATAAACATGACTCGTGACAATGCTCTGAAGGTTTTGATAAGGTTTAGATTCATGTATCATGTTGGCCCTGCCATAAGCCTGTTGTTTTTAACCCATAATTAATGAGGTGAAGCATTGTGGGGTATAAATTTTTTTTTTTGTTTGAATGCCACTTCATCTTCTGAAATGTGGCCTTTCAGAATTCAAAGTAGGTGCAAAAGAGGATTTTAACAGTATCATCCACCTTCCAATAACTCATTACTGATGCCATCCATTCCAAACAAGATCCTTGCACCTTTTTACTGACACTTTAACTAAACAAACTTTGGTTCCTCCTTCAGTCAACACTTATTTCATCAGATGTTGTAGACATTCAACATTGACCTACACTTAGCTGCAAATAGCATTTTCTGGAAATCCTTTTTCATATGCCGTTTGGCAGAGTTAACCTTCTTAAAGATATAATTTGATTTCAAAGATGGGCAAAGAATTAGTCTGGCGCACATTCAGTAGGTGGCAATGTTTGTAATATTTTATTGTTATTTATCAATTCATTTTCTATGCCTTATCAAACCTTTACAAGTTATTTAAAGCCAGAAAGTATTTTTATATTATAAGAATTTTTTTGTTTTTTAATGATTTAGTGATACGAGTCTTATTGATTAATCTATAACTTGGGGGAGAAGAGGTGGATTCATACCCTTTCCCAAGGGTATTTGCACATAAGTGAATATAACAAACCCAATGGGAATTGAAATTCTGGTCTCCGATTAACAATTCTGAGCCATTATCCATCACACCATGTGCACATCCAAGCACCTGATTTTCCCAAGTGATCACCCATGTTGGTACTGGTCAGGCTTGACGTTGCTTAACTTCAATGACTGTGTGGTAACCAGTATTTTAACGTGATATGGCCATAAACCTGTAATGGTTTAATCACATTTGGAGACACAATAGCTTTGGATAACTCTTTACTACTCTTAAGTAGATGTTTGCAAATCTTGATTTTCATTCTAATGAAAATCAAATATTATAACGTAGCCATTGTCTCAATTGCTATGCTAAATATTTTGCATCTATCAACTTTGCAAGATCACCACTGCTAGTCATAATATCAGCTTGCCGCAGTCATCCAAGTGAAAATTAAAGGTGGTTATAAATGAGATAAACTTTATACACACAGATGAATCCTACAGAGTTGGTTCTAAGCTATTTGAAACTATAGCATGCAGCACAGTACCCAACCTGTATTTGTCTGTCTAGTGGCACTTTCAGTATAACTTAATCACAGACATGAACAGCAGTTGTGTCTGTCTACTGTTGTATATGGCTTCATAGCTACTCCCACTTTGTAATCTTTTTGCCTGGACACTTTGTTAGTCTGGACAGTAGGTTGGGATGAGGGCAGAGTGAAGGGTCTTATTGTAGACATCACATAGGGTTTGGGTGAGCTAGCCTCTTAGCAGGTAGCTGGAATGATCTCTTGAAAACAAAAAAAATCTCCCTCTGGCTATTTATGGAGTCCAACCTCCAAAAACTGAGTTGGGGCTGACATTCTGGGATGCCTTCGAATTTCTTGTCACCCAATCAAATCTCTCCGTGAGCTCCCCTCCTGTGGGAGTGGCGGTAGCAAGATGTCGATCTGCTATCTTGTTCTTCCTGCTTGTCTTGCTTGCTCTCACACCAGTACCTTTCCGTGAGTGTATTCATTTTCTTCTCACTTTCTCATATCAGCTTCTCACACTGCCACCATCCAGGGAATCGTTTCTCTACTCAACCTGTAGGTACCCAATGCAAAACAGGTGTTATTTCTAATGTCATCATAAAAACCTTATCTGCTCGCTGGGGTGGTCTCTTAGTCCTCTGCCAAGGCTAGTGCCCTTCCCCACACACCATCCATTGGTCCTAGCTAGCAAAACAAAATAAGATGTCATGTCCAATTAGTGCTGGATGATTCAACTTTGCCCAGGCCTTTCAAAGAGAAAGGGAAAGAAAGGAAACCTGTTCTTCCTTTTTCGCCCAAGGTATTGGTATATCTCCTCATTCTATACCAAACCTGACTCTTCATCTAGTTAAATTTTATTCCCCAGATTTCCCCCTCCTCCCTTTTCTTTTTAAATTTTACTTTCCTTTCAGTGTCTCCTACTAGTGCCACATATCACTCCCTTTGTCAGATCATTAGGAAGTGTATGAATTCATCTCTTCCTCACACTAGCTATGGGTAAGATAGCAAGACAGGCTAGGCTCTATAACCTTGTTAAGGTGACCAGTCTAGTTTATCTTGCCCATGGCACATGACTGCTACTATGGCTGCAGCACATGTGGTGCCTTTGCAACAGGATTTGCGATTGTGATCACATGTTGCTTTATGACTCATGGTGCTGCATAAAAATTGGAATGCCCTGTATTAATTTGTCTTTTTTTATATTAAGCTTCACCTTGTACAAGGCCCAGGGCCACTCAGGATAGAGGGTTATGTTGAGGGATAGTTTATATGGATAGGAGGGGAAGATAGTGCTTAAATCTAAACTTGAACAGGTTAAGATTGTAGTGATCAGGGAAACGTTCTCTTGGGAGTCTGTTCCATTGAGCAGTCGTTCATAGGAAGAAGCTGTTCAAATACAGGGTGGAAAATAATTCTTCCCCCAACAAGGACTTGGAGACACTTTTGAACTCTATCAAGACTGGAAAGTGAGGACTGGGAAACTCCTGCCCAAATATGACAACTGTACTCCATTTTCAGCCTGATCTGGTAGAGGATAGCATGAGGAATCAGGTACTTACTGGAGTAATACAGGGAGCCAACCATTTTACCTGCATCTTTAGCAATGGATTGTATGTACAAGTTCTATTTGAAGTTTGGTGTGAATTTAATGTAGAAGATTTGAGAGTATTTGAAGATTTTGACACGGCCATTTTTAGATTTAAGTTTGAAAAAGCCAGCATTCATGCTAAGCAACAAAAATGCAAGATGAAAAATAACTTCTAAGATGCTAGGCAAGAAAGAATATTCTCAGTTTCCCTTTTCCCATTATAGACATTATTATATCCATAATATAGTAACAATTCATACACAGACAGAACAAACATGAATTGTTCTTAAAGATATATATATATATATATATATATATATATATATATATATATATATCATACACATTTGTCTCACACAGAAACTATGACATATGTATACAACAAGCAGTATGAAAGGGGTGAAAAGAGATGGGGTATTACTTGTAATATTTCCCCATAGGGGGGGGAGTACAGGTCAATGGTATGTTTTCTTTCTGGTGAGGCCATGTGGGTTCCTCCTATTTGCTGTGTGCTTGTGATGACCGTCTTCTCTGTGGGCTACATAGTAACTGTCCTGAGCTGACCTGTATTGTCTCCAGGCAGGATAAAAAGCAATGTGACTGTATCTTAACCAAGGGGAGATAATCGCCTTTGCTACAATGTTTATCAATGTAATAAGATGTTTTTTGCTTCCTCATGATTTGAAATTTGATCAAAATCAAATGGTGTCCATGCTCTTGCAGGTGTGTTCCCTGTCCTGATGGTCAGTATATAGATGTAAACACTACCAAGTGTACTCCATGCCCTTCAAATACTGTCGTCCATGCAGGTGATGCTTGGGGGATTGAATCTTGTAAGCCATGTGGTCCAGGGTTGCAGGCCTTTGGTGGACATCAGTGTGTATCGGACTGCATGTACAAAGATCCTGTTAATAACAGAGATTACAACTTTAAAAAGCTTTCTGGGTAAGTATAAAATTGATTGATTTTTTTTTCTTATGGTTTATCAACCTTCTGTAGATTATTTAAAGCCAGAAAATATTTTTAGATTGTAAGAATTTTTTGAGATAATGATGATTTACTGATATAAATTCTACTAATTATCCATAGCTGGGGGAGAAGAGAATGAAATGCTTCAGCTAAGAAAAGTTTTTCTTTTGTCTTTATTTTATACTGTTCTTTTGCAGATACATTTTTGAGTTATATCTGAATTTTTACACACGCACATCTCTCTATCTATCTACCTACATATACATACATACATACACATATATATATATATATATATATATATATATATATATATATATGTGTGTGTATGTATGGTTTATCACTCAAAAAAAAAGATACTAAGAAGCATTTCTTTATTGATTCAGTGGCAAGATTGCAAAATCAAAAATACTGAAATGGATAATTTTCTCTTCATATTGAAAAATATAAATCTATTGATGCGTATTGAGAGTTTTATATATATATATATATATATATATATACATCAAATATAGCTTAAAGAATGCTTTGTTCATTTTTAAAAATTAATTTTAAACTTTAAAAATTATAATTAAAAAGAAACTGGAGGCGGGAAACAATTCTTGTAATAATTCATTAGTTATCAAGAGTTTTTTTTTTTTTTTATTATTATTCACATTGCATCCTTCATTTATATTATTCATGATAGCAATTAAAAGCTTATACAATTAAATAATTGGATCGTTTTTATGTTATAATTAAGACCATATCTTGTAGAATTTGGTAATAGCTTGAGGAAAAAAAAATTAAAAAAAACAAATCTGATACGTTGACCTTAGTAGGACGAGAAATAAGCAGACTGTCAAGGATTACTCAGACTTTCAAAGTTTACACAAAAAATATTTTAAGACTTTGGTCGTTTTATAACAAAAAATATTGTTCATTGGGAACTTTTGCAGTAAGCATAATTTTGGTTGTAAATATGTAACATTTATGAGAATACACGGATATCTTTCTTTGGGTGTTTATAAATTGTACACTGTTCAATTATTAACATTAACAACTATTTTAAATTACAAAATTGTATTTGGATTAAATGAAAATTACTTATAATATAATACATATTACTTATAATACATTCCTTCTTGCCGTCAATTTTGCCGTCATGGGTACACTAGTAAATCTATAAATCAATAAAACATTTCCCATAAATGTAATTGGAGTGAAGACTTCTCTGTCTGTCTTTTTTTTTTTTTTATTCTTACTTTTTATTTATTTAATTTTCTGTTTTTTTTCCCTATAGCTTCCAGCATGTGACTGGTGGCCATCTTTTCACATCTGCTGGAACTCAATATTATCATGGTTTCAACATCTCGTTGTGTGGTTCTCCAAACGGCCAAAAAGCAACTTGTATCAACAATGTCACCACTTTACCAAAAGAGGTATAGATCAACTTCCATTTTTTTTTTCTGTTTAGAAATGCTTGCTATTTTCAATTTATTATTCATAAACACTTTACTAAAAAATGTTTTTGATAGTGAGATATGTTTGTTCTGTGGTTGATATGTTAATTTAATGTTTACTCAAAATCCCTTTTGATCAGTTTTGAATGCATTTCATTCTACCTTTTGAGATATATCAGTATTTTAACAACTTATTTTAGTTTTGACTTCCTTATGTGTCTCTGCTGTTGTTTGTAGCCATTTTTTTCTTTAAATAAAAGTAGTAATGCTAGGCACAGAACTATAAATAATATTCTGCAATACATATTTCTGCAAATTTAATTATACTTCTAGATATAAAATGCACATTTGTTATTAATAATACAACTATGCATAGGATTTTTTTTAAGCAGAAAAAATGTCATTGAAATCACTGTCTAAAGTAATTGTTCATTTAGCATAAACCAGAATAAGAACAATATTAAACAATACTAAAAAAAATAACTTAAATACTAATGCTAAATTCTTTAAATAATCATTTTACAGTTTTGTTTATTTTGAAAATTATAAGAATTCCTTTTGCTTCCTGACAAAGTTAAATTTCAAGATGATTGTTTTGTTTATTGTTTTATGTTAATATACCACTTCTTATTTTTTTCTGAAAAAATGAAAGATAAATAATATATCTTATTAGGGATTATATATTTATATTAAATCTTATTAGGGATTATGTTTATATTAAATCTTATTATGGATTATATACCACTTTTTTTCTTTTCTTATTCAGTAAAAGGTGAATAATATTGTTATTAGGGATTATAACAAAAATGAAATCATATTTGCTTATGTTTTTAAATCCTTGTAATCTTGTGATATCCAATAATGCAACTGAAACACTTGTCATTCCTTAAATTAATAATTGAAAATTTTTAAAGATAATCTAATAAAATTGAGCATGTTTCAGAAAATTTTGGAACTGTTTAATATTAAGAAAAAAATGAATTTTTATATAGCATTACATAGATGAAAAAAATCTTTTGTAGACCATAAATGTCTGTTTAAATTTATAGCCAAAACTTCTTTGGGCTTTGGAAGTTTAAAAAAATCCTCAAAAAACACTATTATTAATTTTGGCAAATAGTTAATGCATTTAAAAATCTCATATATAGTAAGTTCTTTGCAATATTTCTAAGTAAAAGATTTAATGGGATTTTAACTATTTAGTATACATATTATATCTTCTATGTGCCATGTCCCTTCAGAATGTGGGGGATCTTGGTTCTCCATAATTTCCTTTTCTCTTTAACTGTTTGCAATGTTTGTCTTTTTTGATATCTCTCCTAATCCCTGTTCTACTAAATGTTTACAGAAAATAGCTAGGTTATTTTCTGCTTCTCTCCGCCCCTCTTGCCTTTAACATGTCCTGTGAGTGTTAAATTTTTCAAGCCCTCTTTCCTCATTATGTGCCCTAGAAATTTCAATTGTTTCTTTCTGGTCCTTTTTGTATGTATTGTAAATAGTTCAAAACTATTTTTAAAATATTTTAGTATCTGAAAGATTATGTAAAGCCTGTAAAAACTCAACTGAAAATTTTTTGTCTTGAGTTTTTTAAAGGAAATTTTTTTTTTTTTTTTTTTTTTTTTTTTTCAAACATTAAATCTGAAGGATATATTTAAAGATGTTTTCCATTTCTAAATATTTGTTCTGTTTTTCAAATTTACATAGTGAATTTGTATCTTTTTATAAACTACATTTAATAAAACATTTCTTTGCCTGATGGAAATGTTTTCAGCTTGGATTTCATGTTAAAAAATCTGGATAATATAAATATGGTTTAATTGATAAATTAAGTGCTACGAAAAGATTAATGAAATAGAAAATGATTGATTAGTATCATTTAAACCTAAGCTAAAAAGTTAGGTTATTTTCTCATTATGCCTTTTTTCACATCTACATATAATATTTTAATTCATACACATTGATTCGATTTATATTGTGGATACAACAGAACAACTTGCGTTATGAATAAAAAAGGGAGTTAACTCTATATTAAACAGAGGAGTTAACTCCATATTAAATTTATTTTAATACCTTTTATCTATAATAGAAATTCAAATGAAGACCTTGTCTGACTTTAAAAGTTAATACATCACACCACAAAATTTAGTGACAGGACACTGGCAGCTTTTTAAAAGAAATAATCATAAAAAAATTTTTTTAATACTTAACTAGTTTAGAAATTTAAATATTTTTTCTTTTTTTTTTGTCTTTAGTTGCGTTCAGTGAGTCGGGTGGCAAGTATTCTCAAGATAATTCTTATTCAATAGCAAATCTTTTGTCTTACACTGCTTTTGTTTTTGGAGAAGCATGCAAAGCCTTGTTGTTATCTTATTTGCTATATATCTTTTTGTCTTTTAATGTCTTTCAATATATTTATTCGATAATGAAGGGCATTCATCTGTGTGAATGTGTCGAGCTTAAGCTCCCAAACCATATTTAAACACTTAAACTCATATATATATATATATATATATAATATATATATATATATATATATATATATATATATATATTCAGCATGCTCCAAGAAAGATTTTGATAGATAATTTATTTCTGTATTCATTATATAACTGATAGTTTTTAATTAAAATATAATAGCATTAGAAAAACATAGCAAAAAAAATACAACTATTTTAACATTTGCAATTTAAACCAGACATCATTTGATTATTTTTTAAATAAACAGTGGCAAAAATTAAATTGAAAAGGTAAAGATTAGAATAATACACAGGTAATCATTTTATTTAATAAATGACTTCTTTGTTTTAAAATTACATTTTTCACTCAAAGACAATATGTTGACTTTCGTTACAAAAACAAATTTCCACTTTTTATACATTGTAATAACATTAAGCATTCAAAATAAATCTTTAAAAAAATGATAAATTGTTGAATTAAAATGAAAAAAAATGTGGTACATTATGTCTATGTACATCCGAGTCCAAAGTTTGTAATAAATAAAAAAAATGTAAATTTGTTGTCAGTAAATTATAAAACATAATGAAGAAATACTGCATAATTTTTTATATTACAATAGTAACTTAGTATTACATTCTATGAAAATATTTGTTTTTGTAGAGATTTTTTCAGTATTCTCACAGATTCATTATTTACAAAGATCATTAACAAAAATAGTTTAGAAAAATGTAGATTAATAAAAGATTTTGGAAAAAGGAAAATTTTGTAATTGGTAGTAGAAAATTCATTTGCAATTAAGTGAAGAAAAGGCAGCATAAAAAATGATCGAAAGCAGACAACACTGACTTAACACTTCCTTCAAGTCAATAGTTGTCTTTTCTAGAATTAGAGCAAATGTGAGTGATCCCCCCCAATGAAAGCAAAACTGGATACATCATTGCCCATGGAAATTTCAGCCTTAATACATTATATATTCCCCCATACATATATATATATATATATATATATATATATATATATATATATATATATATGTGTATATATATATATATATGTGTATTTTTGTTTGATTCTTTTTTTTTTATTACCATAACATAATTTTTTTTAATAATTCTATTTTTCAATCTTATTGTAAATTTATATCAAGTTTGTTTTCACCAGGCTTCAAAATGAAAACTGGAAAAAAAATCCAAAGGAAGCCACAGTCAGTCAAATGGCCAATCAAATAGGAGGGTTGCTCCTGATTGAGTTTTTTTTTTATTTTTAATTTTAGATCTGTGGGTAAACATTAAAACCTAATTGGCAACCATGACTAATGGTATTCAGTCAGTTATGCAATGTGTGATGCACGGTTAGGTGATCATGTATCTTTCGATACATTACTAACGAGGTAGATTTTTTCCTGCAGTAGGTTGCCATGCCTTTCTGCATTTTCACTTGCTCACTTGGAGAATACTTCTTTAATAGCAATTCCAACTTTACAACCACTACATTATGGCACTGATTAACATGCCATTTATCTGATAATAGTTTAATTAACTTGTGTATCTCCAGCCAATACCACACAAAACAAGAAATCTGACAAATCCTTAGCAATAAATGGTACAAAAATACTGTACCGTATAAACTAAAAGATGACAAATGCGATAAGCATTAAGGATAAAAAAACAAGTGACCTAACATCAATGAAATATTATAAAGTTTAGGCATAAACATAATGTTTTTCATTAAGAAAATGATGAAAAAACTTGTATGAAGACAGACCTACAAGATGTGCAATATTTGAAAGTGATGAAACGGACATAGCATAAAATCAATTCTTCCATGATAGCTTACAAAAGCAGAAAGTGCACAGACATTGAACAATTTATATTTAAATATGTACTGGAACCCAGTAAAATGATCTGAAATGGAGAAAAAAAAAATATATATATATATATATATATATATATATATATATAGGTATTTGAACAGAAATCCCTGTTTTATACAGGTTTCATTGAAAATGACTGACAAGGTGCTACAATTACTTTTATTATATTTTTCTTGCATGTGTACAAGAGATTTTTTTGGGTGGGGACAGTTCTGATGCACTCTATGCAGTGCCTTATCAGTCATCTTCAATGAAACATATATGTATTCATGTGTGTGTGATAGAATAAGGAACAAATAGAAAATATTTATAGATCTAACATGTTTTACTGTTATAAAAGCTTCCTTAGAGAATCAAATATGGAGGAGGAAAAGAAAAATAAAGTTTTCACTTCCATATTTCATTCTCTGATGAAGAATCTTTAATAAAGCAAAACATGTTAGATTTATTAAACATTTCCTATTTGTTCTTTGTCCTATAATTGTTGGATTCCAATCTATATTTGATCCCACTTCATATATATATATATATATATATATATATATATATATATATATATATATATACACACAAACTCTGATGAGGGTTTCCATTAATCTGAGAGAGGAAAGAGCATAATTATTTGCAAAGTTCTTTTCTGTAATTGCATGTAAGAGTCGGCTGATGTGTTATTGCATAGCTTGTAAGTACAGTGGTTATGTAGATGAAAGTGATGTCAATAGAATTAACAAAATGAAATGATATGGATTATCTCCAAGCATCGTTATGTATGACTAAATGGTTATTAAATACCTCTACAAATTGGGGACAGCTTTTTCTCTATTTACTACCATCAGTTCACAAATTTAAAAATACTATTTTCCCTAAATCTTGAATATTTAAAAACTATATGTATAGAAATACAAATTGAAATTATTACAAAACCTGTTGAAAATTTAACTATTTTTGATCCCATAAATCTTGTTATTAAAAAAAAAAAAATAAAACAGAATACGTCTTTTCATTAAGAGAATATCAATCTTTTAATTTCATTATTGAAAATTACATTTTGAATTTGCCAGTTTATTTAGCATTTATTTAAAATTATAATGGAGTTTTCAACCCAGTTTAATTTTAGTTAGAATTGTTAAAACTTTAAATTTATGTTAAAAAAAATTCCACGAATGAAAATTTTATTTTATATATTGCATGTAACAGTTGATTATCATTTAGTCACACGTATAAAACTGACTTCCCATAAGATCTACAATCTCTTATGTCCATTGATGAAATTGAAGTCATTTCATTTTAAATGGGGGATATTAGGAGGAAGGTGTTGTCTACTCTGTATGCATAGCAACCTCTTATCACAAATCGGTTCATGAGTGATTTTTTTTTTTTTTTTTTTTTTTTTCACTGGGTGCTCTTTTGACATGGCCTTATGCCAGACTGAGATAATCGTAAATAATCCTGAGAGGAAAGAGAAAGAATGTTGCTGTTTAATTCTTATATCTAATGGCACAAGAATAAATTTTGTTCAGTCAAACAACATTTTACTAGTTTTGAATTTTTTCATAGGTTTTTATCAATGGAAAATAATTGTTCTTATTAAAAAAAAATATCCAGTATGATTTTGAATAAACAATTAATTCCTGATATTTGATTGATAACTATTTCATATTCAAGTAATGCCTCAAGTACAAATTAATCCTATAAACACTGCAGTATAAACCTAACCAGTGTTTGTTCATAGACTCGAATATAATAAGCAATGTTGAACCTGGTCAGTACCTAGATGGGTGACTGCTTGGGAATACCAAGTTTGGATGTGAGGGTATTGTAATGGATAATGGCTCAGAATTGTTAATTGAAGAGCTGAGTTCTAATTCCCATTGAGCTTGTTACATTTGCTTATGCACAAATACCCTTGGGGAGGGGATGAATCTACCTTTTCTCCCTCCAGCTATGGGTTAATTAGTAAGACTTGTATCATTAAACCATTATCTTTTAAAAAAATTCTTACAATCTAAAATATTTTCTGGCTTTAAAATCACCTGCAAAGGGTTGATAAGCCATAAAAAATGAATCAATCAAGTATAATAAATTTGAAAAAAAGATTTCAACAGTGACCCAACAAGTCCTAAAATCTACCAACCCAAACCTATAAACAGCTTTTTGCTAATATAAGTATTGCACTGAATTCCCTCGTTCTCTCTCAATCACTGCTGTGTTGGGTGTGGCCATAGAATACACCGACTGCACCTCTGCAAAGGGGTAAGAATGAATTAGTAGTCCTGGGTGTGATAACTGAATCCAGCAGCAAGGCCTCTGATCAGGAGATTTTGAGGAGCCTGGAACCACCTCTTAATTGCTGTTCTCAAGTTCAGACTGATCCAGGGTGGTAGCACCTGTTAGGGTCCCAGCTATGGGCAAATAGTGCCCACCCCCCAAAAAAGCATAAATCAAAACATTAGAAAAGTATAAAAATACCAGCAATTCATTTTTATAAAAAAAATTAACAATAATACATTTTTACCTACAAATTATATATCTAAAAACCATGATTACCCCAAAAGTATAAAATTATGTACAAAATGTAGCTGAAGTCATAAAATTGTATACAAAATATTTAGATTTTATCATTAAGTAATCCATAGAGGTTGATATGGCAAGAGTCAAAATGAACCAATTTCTTATATAATCTTATTTGAGTGTGTAATTGGTGAATAATTAACTACTAATAGTAACCAAAGATAATCTCGATAAAAGGAATGAACTGCATTTGTTCTACCCTTCAGGAAAAGCAGTTTTTGGTAAGTTTTTGTATTAATTTTAATATCTAGGTACTCTGTCAATTCTGTTGATGTTGCATGTGGTGATTGCATGTTGCTTCACATTACAACATGTCTGCTTCTTGATCATTTTATTCTTTCTTGCTGATTCAACACAAATAAAATTGGACTGGATTTTTAGAGCTTTTACTCCATCAATTTTTGGACCAACTGTTCATCTAATGTTAATTTTAAATTTTATTATGGCGTACCTTGTCGGAAATTCAATTATTTTCATTCTTCACAGGAGCTTATGACAAAAACATCTGGTTTCTTATACACACACACACACACACACACACACACTTTCAGAATATCGTCCAAAACATATCTGGGTCATAAGACACCTTTTCTGACCCTGCAGAAGAATCTCACTTAGTTTTTGCAGCAGCCATTTTTGAGCCACTCACTCACTATGAAGCCAATGCTGATTTCACTCATGAAGGCAGATCCAACCTGGTTGGCATGAGTGACAGATGCCCATGACAGGCAAGCTTAATTGAACATGACAGACCACACGCCTGCCCAGGCCATCAGCACTGATGCCTCCAATCAGTGACAAAATCATCAGCAGCAGAGATTAACTCTAGACTATTACGTATGCATATTGATTTTCTCCCATGTGTCTATCTCAACTGCTACCTTGAACAAATTCTCAGTCACCCACAACAACTGATATGATACCCCAGAACAAGCAAATGATTGAAACTTATAGATCATGTGAAATAAAAAAAAACTCCCCTCAATTGCATCCTCTCTCCATTTTTTTTTTTTTTTTTTTTTTTTTTTTGCTACTTTTTTTTTTTTCTTGTTAATGGTAAGGCTGTCATTACAAGTTGGATTGTAGTTCTGACAGGGTACAATAATTATAAATAAGGAATTATTAAAATCTAGAAGTTTCCACTCTCCTTCAGTTCACTTTGGTGATTACTGGATTTTCACCAGATAGAAGAGATGTGCAATATTATTGTCTCATATGGACTAAAATAAAAACAGGAGGCTGAATCTCTCACATGTAACATTAAATTGTTTATTCCACTCTTGACTTTGTCAATCACCATCAACCAGTGTGTGTGTGTGTGTGTATAACCCCAGGTGTTTTCTCCAAACAGGGATGCTCCATTCTTGTGTGAATGCTGAGACTGCCTCTCTATATCTGTCATGTGGTTCTTTTCCCATGTGTGCACATCTCTGGCACAGTTCAATTCCATGTCCCCCTTTCGGTGTTGCCACTGACATCTAGTTAATTGGCAACCCCAAACCCCCCGCTTGACTAGGAGGTCATCAGCCAGGTCATTCCTGCATTTGGCTTCTCTGAAAGGCACTGGTTGCAAAGTCTATTCTGGCATGATCTGACGATGAGCCTAGTCCATATTACAGAGATTTGATCAAGCAACTGACAAGAATGAGTATCAATTCAGCATAGTTATGAATTCTTTAAAAAAAACTTGTCTCAACTAATCAATTTTTAAAGATTTACATGAGGGATGTTGTCCTCTTACTGTTGCTAGTCTCCTTCATTTAGCTAAATCTAAAAATCTCTTACTCTGCTGTATTTATGCCTCTTGTAAAATTTGAGCACTATTAAAGCTCTCATCAGGCCATCTATATTTTGCTTACCAGGGTGATATTTAAACATTGATATTGGTATCCAACCTCCATTTTGTTGTTGTTGAGTTTCAAGATGAATAAATTGTGATAAACTGTTAGATTTATCACTGGGTTCTGGTTTACAAGTTTGAAAATCAGGGGCACATAACTTGTGTACAAAAACTAGCGTAAATCATTGTTAGAATGTTTTAATCAAGAAGTAGAACAGTTTTAAAAAAAATATTTCCTGGATTATTTAAAAATATTATTTTTATTCCTGCATTTACTATCATTATTTCCTCTCATTTTTTTTTATTTCCCATGTAAACTTTCCTCTTTGTTCTTTATTCTTTCTTTTGGGATTTCTTGGATTTTGCAATCTTTCATTTATCTCTCTTTTCTTATACTCTCTATATTATTGGGAATAAAACATTTTGTGAAAGGCTGAATATACTTTCTTTTTTTTATGTAATTATTCTAAACAATCTTTGATTAAAAGAAAAACCAACTCTCACAAAATTAAGGCGAATTTTACAATTTTTAATCATTTTTTAAATTTATGCTATTTTTTTAATTCTGACGGTATGGAAATGTTACCTTACAGAACATTATTTATTTATTTTTAGCCTCTTGGAGGTCCTCGGACATTGACTGCTTCAATCTGTAGATCTACATTAGTGCCAAGTCGGGACCACACATCTCTTGTTTCCACACAACCTGTCAGGTAGGTGTTTTCACTTTATTTTATTTAGATTTAATATTTGAATTAAGTTTTAAAGGCTGTTCCACTATTTTCTTTTAGAAAAATAAAAAAAGAATTTACATTTTAGCATCCTTGATTTTATAAATAATTTATAATTGAACTCTCTGGGAGTAAATTATTTTCAGAATTTTATTCATTTTATACACATATAGTGTGCATCAGAATGTTTCTTCAGTGATGTCTATTCTGTGGTCATAGAAAGTTTCAGGCCTCTATTACATCAGACTTTTTCTCCCATGGGCCCAGCCTAAGGTGATCATTCCTCAACTAGCATTCTGCCTAATTGCAAGAATTGTAAACAATATTTGTGTCTATGCAAATGAGATCCTTTTATTCAATTCTATGTCAGAATTCTGACCAATCAGGATTTGCTTAATTTTTCACCTGACTATTGGTGTTTTTCAGCCAATCAGTGGCATTTTCTCTTTTACCCTTATAGCTCAAAGTACTCATTCAGAATATTTATTTTTCTTAAGTGTATCGTGTTTTACTTTCAATGTTTCATAAATCATTATGGAAGAAAAATAAATTTAAATGTTAGTAGGAAGTCTAAAAGTTTATTTTTATTTATTTATTTATTTTTATTATTATTATTATTGCATTGCTGATGTGTGTAATTGAATTTCTAAATATTTACTTAGTCTTGTCCGGGAGTAAATAATTATCTAGTTTAGCTTGATGTCATCATAAATAGTTGGGTAAACTTGGACCTTTATGCCCACAAAAAACTGAGTGTCAAAAGGACAGTCTTTTCCCTTGACACCGCTATTATTTTAACTACCTTCACTTGTCAATAATGTTTGTTTTAAAAAGTGATAATTAGAACTGTAATAAAACCTAAATATATGATGAAAGTGAATTTACACATTTTTGGGGGTTCTTGAAAATTTGCACCCAAAATATTAAACAGTATTTGTTTATTACATTGTTTACTTACAAGAAAAGTTTTATATTTACAACATCCTAAAAGCTAATACAATTGTATTAAAACGGGTGCCTCGGCGTGGTGTAATGGTTAGCAAGCTGGTCTTGCTAAAACTGTTACAACTGAATAGTGAGTTCGTTCCTCACTGGGTGCCCCATACTTTCGGACATGTGCCACTTCTAAGCCTCGCTTAGAAAATCAATACAATTGTATTAAAACTAATGCTGTGGAATATTTATCATTTACCAATTTATAAAGAAATAAATATAAAAACAATTTTTTATTCATAAATTTATAAACATTTACTTATTAAATGTCAACCAAATATAAAGAAATCCTTATTTACCATTTTATAAAGTTTAAATCAATTGACAATTAGCCAATGTTTTGCAAACCATTCCAATAAATAATATAATAAATAAATAATGTAAATAAACAGTCTAATAAACAAATAGGGTTTATTATTTTTGTTGTCAATTCTCAGGAACAAAGAAAATATATAAATTCACCTTCATATGTTTAGTGATGATTAGAATTTTAAATTCTAATCATCACTTTTTAAAACTATAAACATTACCAAGGCGTGAAGACAATTAAAATAATAGCACTGTCAATGGAAAAAAAACATCATTTAGCACTCCGTTTTTTTTTTTTTTTTTTTTGCCAGCACAAAGGTCCAAGCTTACCAACAGTTGCCTAGCTTGACCTAGTCCTAGAGTAATTAAGTATCTTAATTTGCTTCAAGGGAAAATAGTGATTTTGCTCAGTTTTTTTCTTGAGTAAACAGCTCAGCTTCATCCTGTAGATAAAATAACAGTAAAATCAGCTTTATCATTTGATGGTCATGTGAGATATATATATATATATATATATATATATATATATATATATATATATATATATATATATACTCAACTCCCTCATTGAATTCGATGTATGAGGGTCAAGCAGATCATTTCCTAGGAACTGACACCAGCACATGAGAGTTTATTATAGTGGTGAAAGTTTTGTGCAGAACCATTCCCACTTTTTGAAGGGCTGAATACAGATGCATATATATATATATATATATATATATATATATATATATATATATATATATATTATTTATTTATTTTTTTTTTCAGTTTGGGAGACCATCTAGTGAAAATAATTACTGATGGAAACATGACAAAAGAGTTTATGGAAACTGGTTTTGAAATCAATGGTATGTAAAGCCTCTCTTTATTCTCATATAAAAAATCTTCATTTTCATGCTTGTTTTTATCACCCCCCCCCAAGGGAATTTATCTTAGTAATATTTAAGAATACATAAAAATGGTCAAGCATGTTGTCTTATATGAAGGCTGTTTGATTTGGATGGTTGTCTTATTTCTAATCTCAAATCGATTCAACTTTAACATTTTGGACAAAAATATCTTTAGTTTTTCAAAAGGTTTACAACTATTCTTGATTTATTTCAGCTACTACAGAAATTATATTTGTATTTGAATCCATCTTCAGAATAATTGTGAATAACCTGATTAAGATTCATGAAGACTATAAATAAGGTTTTTGAAAAGACAAATCTATGAAAAAACATTCTGTAATTTTGTATTTCATGAGTTTAGGCTTCAATTTTACTGGGACAATTGATTTTTAATAATCACAAAGACAAAATTTGCTTTGAAAAATTATATACAAGGTCTGATCAAGAAGTATCAGGACTGTTACAATGGTAAAAGCTCAAGTATGCAGAGCAAAGCCACTTGGCACAGACCTTGAACTTTGTTGTGCATACACTCTGTTATGACATTCTTGCCCACTTCCGTTGTTTATAGCAGGGCTCAGAAGGAAAATGTGTCGAGTGTGGTCATCTGATCACACTGCATAGGTTCCATCAGGGGCCATGGCTTGTACAGCAGTTTTTGGCAAATCAAATCATTCCCCAGGCCCTGCCCCTTGTGACTTATTCCCCTTCAAAAAACAAATCTGACTTTTTTTTTTTTTTTTTTTTTTTTTTTTTTTTTTTTTTAAGCATTTCACCCCAAGCAAGGTGGGAAGCCACTAGAATGCAAAGGGTTACAGAAAGTTTAGAGCAAGATCAGATAGGAGTGATAGAAGAAAGGATGAGGAGAAGGGTAGTGGATAGATCAAGGCAACTGGAGATGTCAATTGACATTACACTTGAATAGCTGGAGATTATAGCTCACAGGGAAACAGGAATAGGGAAGGGAGTTCCACAGGCGAGAGGTGCGAGACATGAAGCTATTAGAGTAGAAGAGACGGCTACATTTAGGAGTTTCAACAGTGAAGGGATGAGAGCGGGATGCCAGCCTCGTAAAAAAAAGAAAAAGATTTGTAAATGTTGAGGAAATCCAAGAAAATGTGACAAGGTAGTTCCTTGTTATCCAAAAAAAGGAGAGTTTTTATGATTTTGTAAAAAGGAATGGAAATTCTTTCTTCTGCTAAAAAGTTCTTAACTCTTTTAAATTTCTTATGAATTGAACATTTAAAATAAGACATGACTGACATCTTAGGAATAACTGATATTTTTTATTTTCCCAAAAATAGAATTATTAATAGAATTATTTTCAACTTTTTAATGTAGTAATTTTACCCATTGTCTTATTTTTTTCTTTAAATAGATGAAGACATTCATTTTCATTATAAAGCAGAAAGGTAAGATGAAATTTCTTTGTTCATTGTTTGTGGCAAATGATGTTTTTCATAGCCATTCAATTTCTAAGTGGTTAAATGTCAACACAAATCTTTTTAAATTTTAGAGGATTTTTAGCTGACAATTTTCAGTTGTTTATAACTTAATTAGATTTTACTTTTACACTTGATATTTAAATTGTTTCTTCACAGTATATTTTATTAAAAATATAGATAATTATTTTGAAAGAATTATTACATAAAAAAAAATACAGTTTAAAAATTCTTTCAAGAATTTAAATTCTATAGAAAGACAGTCATTTTTATGCATGATCAAATCGTGTTCATTGTTATTTCTGTATGTGGTTAGTACCGTATATTTCCACATATAAGGCAAAAGACAATGTCAAGAAATGTAGCAAATTTTCATGAATTTGTCTTATACCTGTAGTATAAGATGACTGCTAATTGATTATATAAAGATGTTATTGGAAATGTTGTTACTTACTGTATCCTTAGGAATTCAAAGTAAACAAAATGATGAAACTGATTTGATATCATGTTTTCCCTACATACATTCCCTAAAAGAGAAACCATTGTTTTGTTTGTTTCATCATGTGATCTTTTGCAAATACTGATTCTTCTTCCTCTTTTTCTATATCTAAACAGATACGAAAAACCTGGTTTACTAATAGCCATTTACTCATACTTCATCAACAATCACAAAATACTGCCAATAATAGTACAATAATGTACTAAAATTGTACATTCCATTGCTGAGAATATAATCATAACTGTTTACATTTTCTCAGCTGAGCTTGCATGGATACAAGTTGATTTCATTGATATGGAATTATTCTTCAAATAGGCAATTTATTATGAAGTCATGCCAGTAATAGATAAGGTAGAAAGAGTGAGTTCAATACCCAGTTAAGGCAGTGGAGAACTTGCAGAGGGAAATTAACAGGAGATAACTGATAACTGACATCCATTAGACCTGGCACATGGAACTAGAACAGTCTACCCCAGTGAGTGAAATAAAGGGTTCAGTTCAACATTCCAACCACCTGAAGAAGTCTGGAGTGTACAATAGCCGAAATGTTGTAATAAATATGACGACAAAGATGAGGACAATAGTCCGAATAATGTAAATAGTGTACATAATATCTCATCTCAGAAATATAGACAGATACAGAAATTATTTTATTACATTTATTATCAGTTTATTTGATAATGTGAATCTTTTCATGTTTTTTATTGGTTATTGCACCAAGGCTGAGGTTAGCCTACTAACAAACATCACTCAGAATTTAAGGTTTCTGTTTTAGGATTGTAATACAAGACAACCCTCCTCCAAATTTTAAGGGTGATTTTGGGGATTTAAAGGTCGTCTTATATGCAGAAATATACGGAAATGTAAAAATTAATTTTATTTAAAAGATTTTATCTGATTATCAAAGATGTCTTTTTTTTTTTTTTTATTACTTTTCATGTTCTTGGAAGGATAGAACAAATTACTTTTTTAAAAACTATTTTTGGTTTTGTTGTTGTAAAATCCATATAACTTGATTCTCTTGTTTGCAGTCCAACTGCAGCTTGTCCTAATGGCCGTGAAACAATTATTACCCTTCGTTGTGATGTCAAGCAAGATAAACGAGGAACAATTGATTTACCACCCAAATGTCCGGATGGTACCTGTGATGGCTGCACTTTTCATTTCTTGTGGCGAAGTCAACATGCTTGTCCAGTTTGCAAAGATAAAGATTATGATGTAATTGTTGGAGAATGCATTAATGGTGAACAGACTGTACATTATTATCCTCCAAAGTAAGCAAACGATTCCATTATCTTTTTGTTTCTTTTATCTTTCCATTTCATCTCTGGAATAAGAAATATTTCTTATTTTACTTTTTGAATATAAGTTATGTATTGTTATTTTCTCTCTTAATTCCTGTTCTTTTATTGTTCCATCTCTTTAAATATAGATAATTATTTTGAAAGAATTATTACATAAAAAAATTAAATGTTTTTTTTGTTCTCATATTCTCTCTCACTCACTAAGCACTTGTGTTGTAGTGGCTTTATTGCCTTGGTAGGGCTGAAATGATGCATAAAACAAAAAAAATTTATCTGAATAATGATTTCTGATTTTTTAATATTTATATCAAATTTAAAATTCATATTTGTAAATATTAACTGACATAGAAATTACTGTAGTAGATAATTTTAATTACTTGTCAATATCCAAACAAGTTTGATTAAAAAGAATAACAGTCTTTTATTGTATTTTTTTTATTGTATATTGTGATCAAAATTGTGGATAAATTGTCTGAAGTTTATGTTGTATTATTGTTTTGTTCAAGTACTTTTGAGTATCTAAGTCCTTTTCAAGAACCAGTACAGTGTCTGTATGGGAGGCAGAATTCCTTTGTCTACATTATAGCATTCTTAGGAAAGCTGAAAGTTTGATGTCATGTATATTGGTTATTGGGAGTAAGGCTGCACTAGAAAGAATGTAATTTTTTCCTTTCCCAATGATAAAATTGTAATTTTAAGGTATGCTATATTTATAGGTAAAAGTGTTCAATATATGGGATAGTATAAATATAAAATATCTGTATTCTGTCTTCTAATTATTTCTATTTAATATGCATTAGAATAATTTAAAATATAACTGTTGCTACTTATCCAGTATCCAATACACACACACACATATATATATATATATATATATATATATATATATATATATAAATGAAATGGATTAAGTTCAATAAATATTTAATATTTGTCCTGTTTTTACATTATTTTTATATATAATATTGAATTAAATGCTGTTTTTTTAATTAAACAGTATTAATTACATTTAGCAGCCTGAATGTTTGAAGAATTTTGTAGAAAATATGCACTCTCTGACAGGAATCGAACATGTAACCCTGATGGGAACCATCATTTGATCTGATATGCTGTTAAGCATCCAGCCACAAAGAAGTGTCTGGTAGCAAAGTCCGAATTACTGTTTATAAACACATACCATCAATGATTTTTCTTGATTGATCACATCTGCTCATGAAACATATCTTAAGAAGGTGTGTGTAATTCAGACTTTGCTAACCAGACGCTTTTTGTGGCTGAGTGGTTAACGGCATGTCATATCAAATGACAGTACTCATTAGGGTTACAGGTTTGATTCCTATTAGAAAGCACATATTTTCTACAAAATTTCTCTAACATTCAGGCCAGTAAATGTAATTAATACTGTTTAATTAAAGAATGTTGTATTTACTTAAATTATATCTATAAAAATAATGTATAAACAGAAATATATATATATATATATATATATATATATATATATATATATATATGAAGAAAAATTTGGAAAAACAAACAAAAATCCTTAAATGCAATTATGTTGTTTAAAATGAATGAAATGTCGACGTCTGACGTTTCGGTTTAATAAACCTTCTTCGGGACAATATTCATTAAAATACAATTCAGTTCAATTTGACAAAGACGATGGACATAAAAAAACAAGTCTTATCCAAAACAGATAACTGAAAATTTTAAAATGATCAGCTTTCCGTTTAGCATGGTCACGTTGTCATCACATGGGCGACGCTTTCAAAACGTATTCCTAAAAATTTTTGATTATTTTGAATGAAAAAGAAAATGAAAAGAATTCTATTAGGATCTAAAATTTTTATGTGTATGCTTGTCGAGCATTAATCTCGCTAAAAAAGGGGAAATATTAAAGAAACCAGGTCTAGTATTCACCGTGCATGAGATGGATATTATACCTGCTTCATAAATCCTCCTGAGATTTTTATTATGAAAATATTTTAATACCTTCACGGAATCGAAATCGAAATTATGATCTGCTTTAGTTGTGTGTACAACTAAAGCATTGTTAAAATTTCCGAGGCGAATATCTCGTTTATATTCGAAAACACGAGATTTTACGGCCCTACATGTTTCACCCACATATTTTAGGTCACAGTTTTTGCATGATATTTGATAGATGCAAGCATCGGATGTAATATGTTGTCTGCTGGTGCTATTTAATAAACTACGGATTCATTCATTTTAAACAACATAATTGCATTTAAGGATTTTTGTTTGTTTTTTCCAAATTTTTCTTCATTCTGTTGGATCTATATCCATTTACATTTGCTTACATATATATACACACACACACAATTTTTCTTGTGTTCATATAAGTGTTTTCTCCGGACATAAAGTGTGTAACAATGGTCCAAATGTTATGTACACTAAAGCACTTTCAGCTCTTCTTTTAGGCATTATCAAGGTTGTTTTTATTTTTAACTGAATGTATGGAATTTTATGTATGTATCTAGAGTTATGGGAATGTTTTTCATTTTAACCCCCCTCCCCCACCACCACCACCAAATGTACTGAGTGTATTTGGAAATTAAAAACAATCACATAGTTCTAGATACATACATAAAATATATATATATATATATATATATATATATATATATATATATACTGAATGTGGTTGTTTTATGGATGTAAGAATTGTATATTATGAAGCTATTTAGCATAGATAACAATTACCCCTAGACTTGAAGATTGTAGTGGTCAGGAAAGCATCCTTTTGGGAGACTGTTCCACAAAACAGTAGTTCTTGGGAAGAAGCTGCCAAAATGAAATCATAATTTTTATCACTGAAATGGAATAAGGATGATTCATCCCTGTTTACTTAGTATGATGGGTCTTGGCTGGAATGGTCTGAACTGGTGAAACTACTATCTATATGTGATGTCAAGAATAAGAATTATTCTAAATGCAATGCTTTCGACTAGATAGGAACTGTTTTCAACAATTTCATGGATTCATATTGAGATATCAAGACCTGAAGAATACAGAAGAAACTTTAATGCAAAAATGTTTTTATGATGCATTCACTGCTGCTTCTGAGAAACCTTTTGACTACTTTTAGTTGATAAATTTGTGAGTTGTAATTTATTGTGCTTTGTTAGTAAAGTATATCTGTTGCAACACTACTTAGAATTGAGTTTAAGTTTGGTATTGAAAATTTTTTTATATTTAAATTGATAGTGTCTTGTTTGATATTTCTGATGGTGTCGTCTTGTTTGATATTTCTGATGGTGTCTTTTTTCTTAAATTTTAGACACTGCATGATCATTAGTGGGGAGAAACCCGTGACCAAGAAAAAAAAATGTTCCTCAATTCCTTTTGCAGTAAGTACACATTTTTCTGATTTTTTCTCTTTTTATTAGTCAATTTATAGAAACCATTTAAAAAGAAAAAAAATGACTATTTTGCAGTCTCCTGAATATTGTTGAAATCATGTTGTGGTCGCCAATCTGTTACAACACTACTGCTAATTGAACTAAAAGCAGTGACAACAATATTTTACAGTTTGAAGACAATTTCAACAAGGCGATATTTTATATTGTTTTTATATAACTGAGTAAAAAGAGAAAATCCACTAGTATGTATGCAAAAGAAAGACATTACAAGTTAGAAATTGTGTGTGAGATGTGTTTGGATGGGCACTTCAATGTGGTGTAATGGTTAACAAGCTTGTCTCATGAGATCAATTATGACAGAATAGTGAGTTTGATCTTCACTGGGTGCCCAATACTTTTGGTTCTGTGCAACATCCAACCTGCACTTAGAAACTCACTATTACTTTAGCATGAGGGGCACTTCGATGTGGTGTAATGGCTAACAAGCTTGTCTTGCTAAACCAATCCTCACTGGGTGGCCCATACTTTTGGCTTTGTGCCACATCTAAGCTATACTTAGTAAACTGCTGTGTGTGTGTGTGTGTGTGTGTGTGTGTGTGTGTGTGTGTGAGAGAGAGAGAGAAAGAATTCAGAAAACTAAGGGAAAAATATCCCCATGCCCAGGGGAGGTTCTGGTTGGCATTGTCACTCCTACTACATGCTAGAAAGAAAAGAGAGGTAAGAGAAGAAAGAGAGAGACTGGAAGTTTCCCTTTTTATAGCTCCTTGACAGCACCCTCTGGTGACTTCTGGACGAAACTGGCAAAGCTATGTAGAGATAACCCACAATACTAATTAAGTTATGTTAGGCAAATTACAAGGGATGCTCTGATTGTAATGCTTCTTAATGTCTTTCCACAAAAATGACAATAGGTTTAATACAGGCAGTATAATAACACTTTGAGAGAGAACAAGTTTTCAGTTGCAAAACTCTGTTTCACTATAGTTTCTGCTACTGACTATGCATTTTCAATATATTCTTGATTTCATTTTTCCACTAATCTGTCGCCATAGTAGATGAGCTGATTGAGGTACTCTTCATTTCATGGGTTGACAGATATGGGGAGTTGCCCATGGTTTGTCACACGCAAAGCTTGACAGAGCTCATATCCATTATTTAGTTTCTGCAAACCTTCAGCAAGTGTTAATAAATATCAGTAGGTGTAATTTTTTTTCTGTGAAATGCTTTTGCTTGGTACACACCTTCATATCTGACAACATTTACTAGACTCCTTTTATATATATATATATATATATATATAAAATCTCCTGCTACTCCAAAAGTATGGTACATGCCCATATCATTTTGCCAAACTCCTTTATATATATATATATATATATATATATATATATATATATAGTAATCCACAGACAGTGTTTCACTGTATCACAGCTCCTGAGTGTGGCTAGATGTCCGATTTCTTCAAGCCAGGATTGAAACCCAACTGATTTGACATCAGTCAGATATCTTACCCCAAGGCCATTGTTGCACAGCAGAAAGGAAGGGAATTTTAACATTTTTCTTTATATGAAATATGCCAGCAGCATGGAGAACTCAAGAGTAATGCTTCATATATATAGTGATTTTTCCAAGCGTAGCTTAGATGTGATACAAGGTCAAAATTAGGAGGCACCCAGTGAGGATTGAACTCACTACTGTTGTAATTGTTCTAGTGAGTCAAGCTTGCTAACCATTACACCACCTCAAGGTATCCCTCCTACTACTCCAAATGCTTTTTTGTGGTTAACCATGCTTGCGCAGATACCCTGTTTTTATAAGCAGTTTAAATTACATCAACGGGCTTGTGCATTCCTGAGACTTAATAAAGAAAATGTACTTACCACTAGTGTTTGAAAACATTGTCCTTCTTTCTAGGGGAAATCACTGTAAAAAGGTGTTAAAAAAAATCTACCGCTACCCACTAATATCTACTTATGATGTTATGGGACAACATAATAAAATTGAAGGCATTACTTTTGGATCGACTCTCATGGTATTGTCAAATTCTAAATTAATTGAATTCTCTTCTTACTGAAACCTTCTTCCAAAAATTAGTAGTTGCTTCCCAATTATATTCTCTGAAATCTGTCTACCCTAAGGTTCAAATGTCATCATTGACTTCATTGCAAATTGATTATAATTATTTTTTTTTTCTACTGATATTTATAACATTGATTGAGAGATATTGTTCATTTTTTGTTTTCCAGATTGAAATTGGGAGCATCTGTGCCTTATCTGTTGGCCTACTGTTGCTGAGTTTGGTTGTTTATTGCTGGAAGAAAAATAAAAAGTACTTTCTTCTATTTCTTTTTTTTTCTTTTTCTTTTTTTTTTTTTTTTTTCACCCAGTGTAAGGCCTGAGAGCTATTCATGGATATGTGTGGAAGATAATGGTTAACCCTAGATGACTTAAACAGCTTAACATTGTAATGATCTGGGAAGGATCTTCTTGGGAGTCAGTCCACAAGGCAGTTGTTTGTGGAAAGAAGCTACTCAGGTGGAACTAAAAGAATACAAAGGGAGTAAGGGTAGTTCACTACAATGTGTGTATCATGGCGGGTCTTAGCCATGAAGGTTAGAACTGATGGAAGTAAGGAGTATAGTTCATCTGAACATTTCCCATGGAAATAGAGCAGTGAGAGGCTTGCAACATCTTGTCTGCGAAGAAGGGGTTGCATGGTAGAAAATCCTTTTTCATCCACAAAGACACTTTTGAACTCTATCAAGAGTGGAAAGTGAAAACTGGGCTGCTCTTGCCCTTATATGGGCGCATGGAATGTTCGCTTTCTGATCATGAGACTAGGATTTGAATCTCACTACGGTTGATTTGTCAGGAAGGTGGCTTCTTAATGTTACCAGTCTGAAGGAGGCAATCCCAGCATGTGGCATTTTTGGAAACCATACCCATGGGTTGACCCAAGCCTTGTGAGTGAAATTGTACAGACAGAACTCTTGGGAACTGTCGGTGGTTTGTGCTAGCTCAAAGTCACAAGTCATCATGACTGAGGGTTTGAGTGTGCTAGCTTTATTCAGACTGTTGATATCGTTAACACACTCCCTCCCAGAAACTGTAAATAAGTTCCACTCAGCATAGTTGCAGTATAAACCACATTTACTTTACTCCATTTTAGGCCTTATCTAGTTCTCATAAAAGTAGAGGATAGCAGGAGTAGTCGGGTACTTGCGGGAGTGGTACAGAGAATTGACCATTTTTCCAGCATCTTTAGCAGTGGATGTAGGATGTTCCACTTGAAGTCTCGGCTGAATTTATTCCATTAGGCGCTCAACTGGTAAAAGTTCAGAGTCCAATCAGCAGTGGTAGAATGTTACTAGTTTGCTTTTTGAAGCATTAGATGTGACCAGCCAGTTTCTTCCACCCTGTTACAGAAGAGATGTTTATTTTGAAGAACAAATCAAATATAAATGTGTCTTTGTATATTTTCACTTTTATCAAGTCTTTTCTTTATTCTGTCTTTAGTATTGTGAAAGTTGTTACATGTGGAAAAGAATACAAATTGCTGTTGTGTACACAGAATCGTAAAAGACTGTTCTGTTTGCCAATGAAATTTTCATCTAATATCTGAAGTTTGAGGAAATGTCTTTTTTTTTTTTTTTTCCTTTTTTTTTTTCTTTTTTTTTCTTTTGTTTTTTGACAGCTGATTTATTTGGATCAACACTCTCTTTGACTGAAATGTAGCAATTGAAACAAAAACTGCAAAGCTGAATAATTAGTAGAATAAAACTTCTGATAATTTTATCCTAAGGAAAAATCTTTTGAAGACATTTATTGTTTCTTTTCTTTTTTTTTTTTTTAAAAAAAAAAAACTGTTTTCCATTTTGATGTCAGTTTAATTTGTTTTATAGATTGGAATACAAGTACATGATGTTGGTGGAGAATTCTGCTGGAGAGAAAGAACTTCCTGCAGCTGATACTTGTGCCCTTGATGATGGGGAAGAGGAACATTTTGATGTGGTTGACTTTCCAAAAGACACAAAAAGAAAAAGTTTACTCAAGACTATTCGCTCAAAAATTGGCTCAAAAGTATGTATTAGTTTTTAAAGTACATATGACAAAGAATTGGTCTGACTGTAATTACCTTACATATTACATTGGTATGACTGTTAGCACTTACCTTACCATATTGCATATCAATTTATATATATTGCAAATCTTGTGACCCATCAGGGTCGTAGGGGCACCACATGTACTGCAAGTAGTATTTCTTGGGCAAGATAGCCTGACAAAGCCCAACCCTCTTCAGGCCAGTTTTGAATTCAGTTACCTTCTCCTAGAGTGGTTGCCACAGAAGGCTATAGAACCCAGTCTGTCCTGGTATTTACCCATAGCTGGGTGGAGAAAAAGAGGATTCGTACCCCTTTCCTAAGGGTATTAGCACGTAAGTGACTGTAATGGATTCAACTGGAATTTGAACTCAGCTCTCAGATTCCTCATTCCAAGCCACTATCCATTACTCCACCATGCCTAATATATATATATATATATATATATATATATATATATATATATATATATATATATATATATATATATATATATATATCTCAAGAACAGCTTCGGAGAAAAAATGTATGACAAAGTGAATGGAAAAGGTTATTGTGTGACACATTTTGTCCCATATGGCTTCATCAGCAGACCAGGTTTGTTTACATTGATGTGACTACACATGTGCATGAGCGAGAGATACTGAGAATTTTAAATTTAAGTTTTTAAATTTTTTTTTTTTTTTTTTTTTTTTTTTTTTGTTTTTGGGAGTATAATCTAGCCAATTTCATTTAGGTTCTTGGTACAACAAAAATTAAACCTTCCTCCATCAATCCTCTATCGTAACACTGGGCCTTGTCTAAATTTCTGGAGGAACTGTGTTCAAAGTCTTAGAATCGGGAAATCTGGTAGCAGCGGACATGGATTTCATAGGCCCTCTATGCAGGTTCTCAACCCAAAGTCTCCGAGCTCCCCAAAATCATCTGCTTACATGAACTTTAGCTCAAAACTGGCATGGGTCTGAAGGATTCTTCACTTCACATCTCTCAGGGCTAAATTCTGCCCTTTCCTTTTTGGTATTCTAACTTTGCCCACTTCTCGGGGCTAGCATAAATGTCTTTGTGACAAATCTAATTTTTAAAATGTGTAGAAGAAAGGGCATGGTTCATTTTCCTCATTAATTTAAAATTCTCTGACTCCTTTCCTGAACCCACTTGTCCAGCAAAAACACACACCGAATTACTTTCTCATTTTAACCTTCTGAATGATAGCTAAAAATTATTTCCCAATTTGCTTTTGTCAATGAAAATATATTTGTTTACTTAAATTCTCAACAAAGAACCATGCTGTTTTCCATCTTTGAGTGGTCACCATCATAGCGAAAACATAAACCAGATCACCTGCCTGTTATGATGGATCAAATTTTCATAATTCTAACCTTTGCAGCAGGTTCATTCACTGGTTTCATTTCTCAAGTCATTTTTGCTAATGAAAATATAATTCTTATCTGCTTCTCTTTTCATCAATGACATGTTTTTCTAATTTCTCAAGAAAGATAAAGCTATTTCCCAATTTGCTTTACCCGCGTGCCAGATTTTCGATAGATAAAAAAAAAAAAAACTCTTGGGGCATCATTCCAATTCTTAGGGGTGAGACAATCAAGATGGCGCTTTCTTTACTTCCACATTACCAGGGAAAATGTCTTCCATTCTCTCTTTCTATCTCTCTCTTCCCATTTATATTTCATTTTGGGCTTAACCCTTTTTCAGCCTCAGTGTCACACTATTATTTAAAATGGATAAATACATAAATTAATTTCTCAAACTAATATAAATAATAACTAAATGATAAAAAACAATCAACAACATTTACTCACTTTCATTCATTAGATATTGAATTACCTCCCTTAGCATCTTCAATAGTTTACCTTTACTTTTAGTTTGAAGCATATTTATGAGTGTTCTTAAATTTAAAAATTTGGAAAAGCTAATGTTTTTTCTTTTTATAAATACTTGTTGCAAACTAAAATCCTTACATTTGCCTTGATAAAGTCCATCAGAGGACAAAACGTGTCGGCTAAGAAAAGTTTTAATTTTGTCTTTATTCATATGCATATGTAATAACACCTACTGATATACATAAAATGATATAATTTAAAGTATGTCCAAGTGAACACCATTTTTGTAAAGGAATTGCTCAGTAGTTATCTAGAGCAATAATTATTGTATCAAAAGTTCACAATAATTGCTGAAGATCAATACTGTTCTTGTCTGGGTCCTGAAAAGCGATGCATCACAAAACTGGTAAATATGGTGAATTTTTAATATTTTTGATACACACACACACATCTCTCTCTCTCTATCTATCTATCTATCTATCTATATATATATATATATATATATATATATATGCCAATTGATGAATAGGTAATTGAGCCTTGTTTTATCATGGTGATCAGCTGTGGCATAATGGGAAAGGGCATGCTTTGGCTATAAAAGATTTTGCTGATGACAAAACATTTGATTCCTGTTGAGAGGCACAACTTATTGATCTAGACCAGTTGACATTAATTTCACTGTTTAAGAAAATAAAAAAAAACAAAAAAACATGTTAGTTCAAACACATGTACCCACTAAAAATGATGTTTATACTGATTGATTTGGGGTTTTTTTATGGCTTATCAACCTTTTGCAGGTTAATTAAAGTGAGAAAATATTTTCAGATTGTAGGAATTTTTTTGGAGATAATGATTTTACTGATACAAGTCCTATTAATTAGCCCATAGAAGGGAGAACAGGTGGATTTATATCTTTTTGAAGGGTATTTGCACGTAAGTGAATACAATGAACACAACTGGAATTGGAACTCCTTTTTTGTTCCAGTCTAAGAACTCTGATGAACCATCTGATCCTTCAAACTATTGTCCTATTAACCTTGTACCTCTTTTTAGCAAACAACCAGAGGCCCTAATCAACTCTGAATTGCTTAAGCATCTCACATCACAGGGCCTTCTTTTAGCAATGCAATATGGCCTTCATTTCTCTAGGTCAACTGCTGATATACTAATGATTATTGCTGAAAGAATCTTATCAAGTTTTAGATGAGACTGGTGAAGTTCAGGCTATTATTTTGGACATCTCAAAAGTATTTGACAGGATTTGGCATACTGGTCTTCATAAAGGTTAAGGTATGACCAGACAAATTTTTGAGCTAATATAGTCTTTTTTATCAAATTGTGAAATGAAAGTTATCCTGAATGGGCACTGTATTCAGTGCTTCCATTTTTTTTTTTACTAATGCAGTTGTTTCTCTTTTATCTTAGGACCTACATTGTTCCTAATTATCATCAATGACCTTCCTGATGACATCAGTCCTCCACTTGATATCTATGCTGATGGCACAACCATATACTCCTGTCTTCATAGTTTGATCAGTTTGAATTGGTAGCTGATCTATAAAAAAAAAATGACCTACAGTCTGTTGTTAACTGGGGCAAGGAATAGCTTGTTAGTTGTAATGCCTCCAAAACAAAGCTTCTCTCTATCAAAGACCTTTTCCTGTCTCCCATTAGCTTAGCTGATACCAACCTTCATGAGTGACTCATTGCGTCTTCTCAGGTTTACTTTCTCAGCTGACAAGTGGAAAGATTATATTGTATCCATTGTTAGGTCTGCTGCTAAGAAAGTTGATTCACTGTTGGCCTAGACAGTTTATCTCTCCTGAATCTATCGTACATATTTATAACTATGATTTGTCCATGCCTTGAATATTTCTGCCGTATATAGTCTGGTGCTCCTGCTGTATATTTATAGATTCTTGATGAAATCCAAAGTAGTCTCAGCAATATTATCAGCTGTGACCTGGCATCTTGGTTTCACTCACTTTCCCACCACTGTAATGTAGCTTCCCTGTGCCTTTTCAATAAATGCTTTCATGGTAACTGTTTGGATGAACTCTTCACTATAGTACCCAGACTTTATGAATTTAAGCATAATACTGGATTAGCAGCAAGGTCTTATCAATTCATAGTTTAATTGCCTAGATGTAACCATAAGTTTTTTTTTGTTTTTTTTTTTTGGTTTTTTTGGCACTTCTCACTTGTGGAACTCTTTTAGCTCCATGCTTTCTAGCCAATTTTGATCTTCAAAAGTTTAAATGCAATGTCTTCATTATCTACTGTCTTTTTGATTACTCTCCTTCTGTTGTTCTCACTCCTTAATAATGTTTCTCTTTTTTTTTTTCCTCATTCTTTCATACTCAATAACCCATCCTGTCTTGGTGGCTTTACTGCCTTGCATGGGGTAATGTGATTTAAAATATATATCTACATATATGTATCTCTACATATTCAGTTAAACCAAAAAAACACATCCTGGATAATGCCTAATAGATTAGTCGAATGCACTCAGATCCACACATCATTTGAACAGTTTTTACACACTGTCTAGAAAAGTAAATATATGTGTGAATGCAAGAAAAATTTAATAAAAAATCTAATTGCAGTGCCTTCAATGAAACTTTTATAAAAGAGGGATGGCTGCCCAAATACACACACACACACACACACACACACACACAGAGGATGTATCAAAAATACTTTTACAAACTTTGCAGGCATGTTCCTCACAGCAAAACAAGGACAAAGGTCCATATAAACATATGTCCATGTATCCATACATTCAGTTATAAGTAAAAATAAAATCATTCTTGATAATGGTTGAAAGTACTCAGACATACAGAACATTTGGAAAATTTCTACATAATTTATGTCCAGAAAAGAAAAAAAATTATAACACAAGAAAAATTAAATAAAAAAAAATTAACCACAGTTCCTTGTCACAAGTTTTTAACAAAACGTGTGTGTGTGTACATATATATATATATATATATATATATATATATATATATGTGTGTGTGTGTGTGTATATATATATATATATATATATATATATATATATATATATATATATATATATATATATATATGTTAATGCATGTTTCATTACATAATATAGACAAGTTTTGTCTATTTATTTTAAGTAAGTTCCTTTCATATTATCTGATAAGCTTAATCACATTATTGTTAAAAGACAAAAGGAAAACACCATTGATACATGTTTAAATCCAATCTAAGGTTTCGGCTTACATAAGCCATTATCAAAGATGACAATTTCAATAAATCAAACAACACACAGACGAAACCACAATGATAGTCTGCCCTTGCTGTTTGAAAAATTTCAAAGTAACAACAAATTCGTATATACAAGATGCGGAAATGAAAATCACATCGCAGCTCGTGATGTCACACATGACCACGCGAGAGTGAAAAACAAGAAGTATTAAGTATGGGAAGCCGTTGGTATAAACCAATGGCTTCTGTTATAAATTATAGGCATTTAAGAATATTTGTGGAGATTTCATAGTTTATTTTGTTCAGGTTAGGTTTCAACTGTTTTATGTATATAGCTTCAAGAATTTTTAGTTTTTGTTTGTTTTCATGTTTAAGTATAGTTGTGTTGTCAACAAGGATCTTTCGGAATTGAGTACACAGGCAGGCATGTTGCAGGAATTTGACGTATGAGAGTCAAGCAGATCAGTTCCTAGGAAACTGACAGCTCGACACCAGCATATATTTGATTATAGTGGTGAAGGTTTTGTGCAGAACCATCCACACTTTTTGAAGGGTTGAGAATAGACTTGGTGCCACAGGGTCCCCAAATAACCCACCACAGGTTTTGAATTCAGAGTTGTCCTTCTCCTAGACCAGTTGCCATCCAAGGCTATAGAACCCAGTCTGTCTTGCTATTTACCCATAGCTGGAGGGAGAAGATTCACACCTTTCCTAAGGGTATTAGTACATAAATGAATGTAATGGATTCAACTGGAATTCAAACTCGGCTCTCTGATTCCTCGATCCAAGGTGCTATCCATTACTGCATATATATATATATATATATAAAACAATAGCAATAAAAAAGATAGTGCAAAACCAAAAATGCTGTTAGTGAGATACTAAGAAAAAAGACCATGGTAGCATAGAGGTCAGTGTTTCCAATATTTTATATCTTAAATTGCCTTACATTTTCGTTTTTGAAAATTGTATTGAACACTAGCTTTATTTAGCTGTTCCTTTTGACAAATATTACTTTTGCTAAGTATATATAAGAGTAAGTGGTATAAAATAAACTACTATTCCATGAACTGTGTAAAATCAATAAGACAAAGGTATATATGTTTATTACAATTAAACATCTGACTTCAGCAATAATCACAACAGATCAGTTGCATTAATGGCAACCTGCTGTTAACAAAGAATGAATCAACTTTGACACTTTGATGTTTACATGATTTGCAATACCAGAAATAACCATCTATTGCATCCTGATGGGCATTTTAGCCTCAAAACACTGGTTGCAAGGTAAGCTGTTTTGAATAAGTTGTCACTGTGCTAACCAACACAGCACAGTTAATAGGCTCTGTAAGATGATTGCTGAGTTCCAATAAACACAGATCTTCTTGGATCGACAATTGATTATAGGACACTTGGTTGACCACATGACATATCTGAAATCAAACTGGATATTTTATTTTATGCTGTTTAAGTGAAGCGAAACTTTGACACATTGAAGGATTATTTACTTTTAAATATTTTTGAGTCACACATTGGTTTTTGTACATATTACTTTTTATTTTTTCATGTAGCATCTTAAAAAGTCAAATAATACAATCTTTTTTTTATTTTATTTTATTTTTTTAACTCTTTATACAACAAACCATAAAACTTCACACAGAAGCTCAGGTAAACAAAATTTTGTTTTGATACAAAAAGTTATGTCATGACACTTAAAGATATGATGACTTTGAGGAGAACCAGTACCAGCCATTAATTATTCAATAAAAGCTTATTTTGTAGGTCAGTCAGTATTTTGTCTTTTTTTTTTTTTTTTTTTTTTTTTTTTTAACTTATTTTCTGATTTTCTTAAAGTCTTTTGAAAGAAACTTGTTATTTATTGTGAATCTAGGAGGGTCATTTGGGTTTTCCAATCAGGAAATAATATTTCTGCTTTTTCTTTTCCTCTGATGTAGAATGTGACAATTCTTTGCTGGTGTCTAGAAGGCATGAGCAGATACAATTACCTATTTTGGTAGGGAATATTTGGTGGGAGGGGGTTGGGTCACCAGTCTTCAAAACAAAATGACTTATTGAGGAATGACAATCCTAATCTGACATAAAAATAATTTACATTTATTTACTCCTTAATTCTTATGTATTTTAATTTTCTCCTGAAAATTTGCAAGTATTTTTATTTTTTAATGTTTTGTCAGACATGAGTTTCTGTTTCCATAGCTAGAATTGTTTATATATAATACTGACATTTTTATTAGCAGTCTTAGGTCATTAAACTTTTTGGGGGCCAAAATAGATAAACATGCCCTCAATAAGACAGTTTTTCCCATGACACTGCTTTTTTTAGCAACTTTCACTCTTCAGCAATGTTTATTCTTTTAAAAAGCAATGATTAGAATTATAATAAAATCTAAACCTATGAAAGTGAATTTTTTTTTCTTTGTTCTTGAAAATTGACATAAAAATAAAAAACACAAATTAATTATTAGATTGTTTATTGAAATGGTTGGCTAATTACTAATTGATTTGAACTTTATATAAAATGATAAAGGATTTCCTTATAGTTCACATATTTTAATAATTTAGTAAATGTTTATTAATAAAATATTGTTTTTTATTTATTTCTTTATAAATTGGTAAATTATAAATATTGCATTAGTTCTAATTGTCTTCAGTTTTAAAATGTTGCAAATATAAAATTATTCTTGTAAATAAACAATCTTATAAATAATATTTTTGTTGTCAATTCTTAAGAACAAAGAAAATGTATAAATTCACTTTCATCATCTGTTTAAGTTTTATTATGATTCTAATCATCCTATTTTAAAACAATAAATATTGCAGAGAAATGAAAGTCATTAAAATATTAGCAGTGTCAATGGAAAAATCATCTTTTTGACACTACATCTTACTGTGGACATGTTTGTCCACATTTACCCTTTTTTCTATATTTGCCTTTATTTTATTGGCAAACCTGTTTTTATTTATTTTTATCCAGGAACAAAAATTCAGCATGACTGAATGATATTCATGTAATCAAATTTTTTCTTAAATTTGAGGCGATTTGACTTAGATTTTCTTTCTCTCACAAACAAGATTTTTTTTGTTTTTATTTTTATTTTTTTCAATGTTTGTTTTATTTGCAATTATTGTTTTGTAAGTAAAGTTTTTGTGGTGGCTGGGATAGAAGGTTGTTCATGCTTAAAAAAAAAGAGTATAAATTCAGTAACATTTATTATCATTGTGTTCTTCCTAATGGAAGATTAATCATACCACATATCTAGCTAATAAAAATCATTCAAAATAAGAACTTGAATTAATTTTAAACCAAAGAAAATATATTCTTCCAAACAAATTCTAGCTTTAAAGATAAAAGGAACATTTTTGTTTTTTTCTTAAAATAAGTTAACTAGAAGAGTATGAAATTACAAATTATTAGACAAGCAAAATCAATCTTGTATTATTTTAATGGCTATAAACATTGAGTTTTCTATAAGGGGACATTTTCTATCTTGAAAACTGAATATCATTTAAATTCCTGTTTACTTACTTCTTTCATTTTTCACTTTCTGCTCTCAGAAGGACCATTCTTTCCAAGAACTTGAAGGTAGGCACAGTATGGAAAATCTGTTTTGTTTGGTTCTGTAATGATTGTATGTGAATTCTTTAACACATTTTCATTGTCTTACTTTGTTTTCTTACCTCATCATTTTATTTTCAACCTCTTCCTTCTATCTTTGTGTTTTTTTTTTTGTTTTTTTTTAATGCTATCAAGTAAATTTTTAAAAGATTAAAATTAAAAAAAGAACAAAATTATATTTAGGGATAAGTATCATAAAAAGATGTAATGAAAAAAAACGGATAATAATTATAGGTTTATAAAAAGAAATAAAAACACTATTAATTATAGGTTTCTAAATATGCCTCCCCCACCCCCAAAAAAGTATCATTAATCATAGGTTTCTACCTATGACCCATTAATGTCCACCATTCCTGAAATGGAACAGTGAGCATTAATAGGTTAAAATGAAGTGGGTATTATGTGTGTGCCCCATAGAAACTTCTTGGTTGCTTTCTTAGTTATACAGTAGTCCATCGCTATAGTGTGAGCCTTGGGGTCCAAGATAACTGACCCCGTGCTGCAAGTGAATTGTGGTACCTGGTGGGAGATGTTAGCAATAATGGGAGATTGAACATCTACTTAATTTTGATGCCTTATTTTGTGATATATACCATAGATAATGGCTGAAAAGGAACCCCCAAAAATTATACTAATTTATGCCAATGATTCCATAAGAAATTTTGGGTAATTTGCTTTTTAAGCCCTGCGCTGTGTCTAATAAAAATTTCCTGAACAGTTTTAATTCTAAATTTACATGCCTAATTTGAAAATAAAAAAGAAATTTTTATAAAATCTACCATCTTGGAGTTATTAACAATAAAAGTTTGGACTCATTCGTGTTGTCATCGGTTATGGCATGGCAGCTATTATTGTTGCTGTTTGTATCAGTGCATGTGCAATAATTGGGACATGTGAATGTCTATTCTGCAGCAAATATATGCAAACAACACCAGTAATGGCTGACACAACACAAATGAGTCCAAACTTTTATTTTTGATAACTTTAAAAAAGTGGATTTTATCAAAATTTCTTAGTTATTTTTAAATTAAGCATGTAAATTTACATGTAAATATAACTATTTGGGAAATTTTTATTAGATACTTAGCACAGGTTTAAAAAGCAAATTACCCAAAAATTCAACTTATATCAGTGTTTTACAACAGATTTTGTTATATAATAAATTTTAACTGTCTTCAAAAGTACTTCCTATTGCAATTCATTATGGTCTAGTTTTAAAAGTAGTCTGGCATTGTAAAAGGAAAAGACAAACACGGAAAGTGTGAAGTATAAGAAATTAAATTTATTTTCTCAAATATCATGTTTGCTATACATATGATAAAATCAGGCAATAAGCACAATAGTTATATGAATAAATAAAAAAATACATTCGTATTAATAAAATCATCAGTATCCATCAACTAAAAATCATGGTAAACTGCCTAATTTGCCTAATAGTGGTGGACTACTGTATGTGAGTTGCTTCACCTCATCATCATCATTGAAGATCTGTTGTCCTACAAGTTCTGTCTGTGCTGTGCAGCTCCAAAATCTCTTGGCCAACAACAATTCTTGGTTCATTCATGGAGTCTATCAGCATTCTGAGAATCCTCTATGTGCAGATCTTTGTTAATAGGCTGCACTAAACTGCAGGTGTTACCATGACTCATTTGAAGACTTTTATATTCTTGCAGTATGATTTTTCTGTAGTTACTTTACTAATCCATGTTTTTATTGTACTTATATCAAGCGCAGACTTTCCATAAAAATTCACTAACCACCTGTGAATGTTTGCCACTTTCTCTTTCCGAAGCCAGAAATTCCATGATGGCTCTTTGCTTTCTCCATGTATCTGGAGTGGCAACCATTTAAAAATAGGATTATGGGTAGAAATTATTTTTTTCTGATTCTAGAGACTTTATGGTTTATAACCTAAATAAAAGAATTGATTCTAATTTTTTTTTTTTTTTTTCAAATTGAATTAGAACAAGCATTACTTTTGGCCAATGGCTAATGTATTAATCATGCTATAATTTAATAATTAAACCTTTGGCCAGGTTAGAAATAAAAGATTTTATTAACTTTTTTTTTAGTAATTCTAAAAAATGCATTTATGGAAAAATAAATTCTATCTTAAATGACAAAATTTCATAATTATGCCTTATAAAAATATTCTTTTTTTAAACTGGATACTTCTTGAGATAAAATGTTGCACATCTGTGATTGATATTAAGTCCTTATCAGAATGAACAACCCTTTAATAATTGATAGAATCAGAATCCAAAATCATTAAAAATTATAAATTTCCTCTTTGTGTTGATCTATAGTGGAATAAAGCATTCTCCTTTTAGTGAAGAAAAATACTGTTGCTAGATCATTTTGATTGTTACACTTATTTAGTGTTCAGTTGAAAATAATCATTTTAGAAGAATTAAAAATCCATTTGAAGAATAAAATCTTAAAATTCCATCCACTAAATATTTTGTCTACAAAGAATCAATTTGAATTAATTTGAATATCTCGAATATCTGAAATATTTGCTACTTCTGTTTCTTTTCTCTACTAAACTTTTGAAAACTTCAAATGTATAAAATATATTTTTATTCCCTTCAATGGCATGGAATCATACTGCTCATTCATATTCTTCACATTTAACAAGCTTCCTTTTCTTGCAATGTGATGGATTTTTCTTCTGTCTTGGTGATGGAAAATATTCTTCCTTCTCATCTTGCATTTTCTATTTTCTCTCCATTTTATGCCAAAATGGATATTTAATATATTCTCTTCTTTTTATTCATTCTTTGCTTTTGGCATTGTTTTTTTTTTTTCTTCTCTTTCTATTCTCATGGTTTGCAATATTTAAACAATAATCTATGTTTTGTTATTTTGTATATCTTCTTAAACACATGCATGTATTAAAACTATTTCTATAAGAAAGTACATTTGTGTCTCTATTTAATCATCATTAATGTGATAGCATTATTCTTTGGAAATATTTGTCTGCTTGTGATTGATATGATTCCTAAATTAATATTTAACATTACTAACCAATTATTTAAGATTATTAAAGACTTCACTGAATTTGATTGCAAGAGATGTCCAAAAAGTAAGGTACAGTTAGGTATAAACCAACTGAAATTAAAACTGAAAGTTATAAGCACAAAACAGGTGGTGTGATATGTCTGGTAACAGCCAGAACAACCTTATATTGAGCACATATCTCTCTCTCTCTCTCTCTATATATATATATATATATATATGATGCCACAACAAACATGACTGACCCTGTAATATATGATGCCATAAAACTGCCATAAAACAGTGGACAGGCATAGATTTTAGTATGCCAGGGACAAAAATCCAATTTTGAGTCCCAAAGCAATTGACTGAAAAACACAATTTTCAGTACATGGATATTTCTTTTGGGCTTTTCAAATGTTATAGAGAATCTAATGGAGAATTTCTACAGCATATGTTCATGGGTGATGAGACTTGGACTCCTCATATAATCCTGGAGGCGAAGGTTTTATCTATGAAGTGACCTCATAAAAATTTAAAGTTTAGCAGTCAGTGAGAAACTGCTGCCAATTGTATTCTGGAATGTAAATGATCTATTGCTTGTGGACTCCATACCGCATGGTCAGACATTTAACACAGATAATGTGAAACACTAGGGAGAACTGTTTATTGAATGAGATTTGGACATTTGCATAAAGGCATCATCCTATTACAGGATAATGCCACTCAACACAGTCACCAGAACCAAAAGAGTGGCTCCACTGATAGGGTTGGAATGTTTGACCACATAGTCCAGACTCTGCTCCTTCAGATTATTGTCCATTTGGGCTCCTCCAATGAAATTCAGGCAAATATAGACCTTTGTACCTGTGTAAAAAATGTCAAAAGGCGGGTTTTTCCATTGACACTGCTATCATTTTAACTTCCTTCACTCAGCAATGTATGCAGGTGAATTTATACATATTTTTTTTGCTCTTGAGAATTTAAAACAAAAATATTAAACATGATTTATTTATTAGATTACTTATTTAGAAGAATAATTTTATATTTGCACCATTCTAAAAACTAATACAATTAAAACTAGTGAAATGCATTTACCAAATTATAAAGACATATGAAAACAATTTTCTATTTATAAATTTCTAAATATATACTAAATTATTAAAGTATGTGAATCAACTATAAGAAAATCCTTATTTACCATTTTATAAAGTTTGAATAGATTGGCAATTAGCCAACCATTCCAATAATAATATAATAAATAGTGTAAATAAACAATCTAATAAATAAATAGTTTATTATTGTTGTCAATTCTGAAGAACAAAGAAAATATATAAATTCACTTTCATATGTTTAGGTTTTATTACAATTCTAATCATCACTTTTTAAAACAATAGACATTGCTGAGGAGTGAAGTTAGTTAAAATAATAGCAGTGTCAAGGAAAAAAGACCTTTTGACACTCTGCTTTTTTGTGAGTATGAAGGTCCAAGTTTGCTGAAATTCATTTGGAAAGTGTTTCCGCACAGGTGATATTGTTGCAGAGGTGCATGAACTCATGAGATAAATGCATCAATCTTGATAGTGACTACCTGAAAAAGTAGCAGAGAGGTACAGATAACATATGCACAATGTTTTATTTGTACAGCAATAAAAGTGTTGGAGTTATAAATATTTGTAGCTTAATTTTTGGTCATCTTTCATACTAAATGAAAAACAAATTGAGGCATGATCAGTCTGATGTAAGAGATGATTAATCCAATATAATTGAGGACTGCTTCTATCATCATCATTTGATTTCTGCAATTGTTTTAGTAAAAAAAATCTTTCTTTTTTTGGAGATTTTGACCGTAATTTATTTTCATTGTGTTTTTATTCTTTCTTTCTTTGACAAGCTTTCATCAATTTTGTGACTTTTTATCCCATTGTTATGAAGCTAATTCATTCTTTGAGTGTTAAACTGTAGGAATTGAGGAGAAAGAATTAGTTTCAAAAGTGACTTGTTGTTCATCTTTTGTAGATGATGCCTTAGATCAATGATCCACATGCTCTCTGATCTTACACATGCAAGTGGTATTTTTTCCCCAATGTGCTGCTAAAATATACGTGCTAAATTATAATTCATAGATGATCAGTAAAATGTTAATTGAACATTACAAGTAATGCTATTCTTTATTGGGGAAAATATAATAAATACACGAAATGTAAACTTAAGAATTGATATTTATTTTGCAAACAAATCATTCATTACAAAATAAATACAAAAACCTACTATCCACAATATTAAAAACATGTTAATGAGTAATCAAATGACAAATTATAATGAGTAAAGTAGATTAAAAACAATAAAAAAATGGAGGACATATTTCTCATATAAAAAGATGAGATGCTTTCTTCATTTCATCTATCTTCTGTTGAAGACAATGCAACGTGCAGTTGAGAATGGGTATCCATTATATTGGTGTATTTTATCTGAATGTCTCTCCTGGTTGAGAAGCCAGTCTTGCAGAAGTAGATACTTCTGGAAGGAAAGAAAAATGGTAGAAATTGCTGAAAGGAAGGGTAGAAAATCTTTCAAAGCAATTTCACTGACCTCAGGATATTCTGCTTTTACTTTCATCTGGAAATAAACAAAATGTGTTATAGCTTTGAAAATCGTCTTTTGTTGGCAGCCATATACTGGCAGCTAACATCAGTGTATGAAACCTACTTTGAGTAGCACTATCTTAAGCAGTCAAAACTGCCATGATTAAACAAGGTTCTGTATAATTTCGTTCTTTAATATTGACTTACTGGTAAGAAACTTGAATTGCTTTCAGATTCTGACATTAATGACTAATTAATTTAAGAAAGACATCCTGAACAAGGCCCAAGATCCACTTGAAGTAGAGGGTTACAGAGTAAGCAGCAGAGTTTATAGGGATGTGTGGGGAAGATAACAGTTAATCCTAGACTTGAACAGGTTAAGATTGCAGTGATTGGGGAAGTATTCCTCTTGAGAGTCCATTCCACAAAGCGGTTCATGAGAAGAAGTTGTCTGAGTGGAACTTTCATCTCACCAATGGAATACAAAGAGAATAAGGGTGATTTGCTACCATGTGTGTGGCATGGCGGATGAAGGTTATGAATGTTAAAACTGGTGGAATGAAGGAATGTAGTTCATCTGAACACTTTCATTGGAAAGAATGATATAGCAATAAGATGCTTGGGATGTTAAAAAACATGTATAATCTTACACCAAGTATATTCATTTTGCTTTTGTCTGTAAGTTTGTTTGTTTTGCTAGTTATCTCCCCTGTTTGTGGCCTCTTTGTTATGAAGACTGAAGAAGTTTACAAAGCGGGGAGGGGAAAAGACTTTATGAAAGAGCAGAGTAGAGCAATAATAATTGGAAAAAGATGTTTAAAAAAAAAAGCCACCTAGTAATAAACTAATAATAAAAATAGTTTCAGAATCTGAAAACAATTTACTAGAATTATTACTGATACTTCCAGAAAAGTGAGAAAATACTATATTAGAACCCAGTCTGATACTAACAATTAACAATAGATAGGTTCACATTCCCCAGTCTTTTGAACAGGAGTAGAGGTTTACCCCTTGTTTCCTGTCTAGAATTGGGTTCCCAGTTCCTTCTGAAATCTCCTCATTCTCTTTCACTCTGAATAGCTCCTTGCATCATAGTGGCATTATTGCCTTGCTGGGGGTGAATTGTTTAAGAAAAAAATGATTAATGATCATGATGTCTATGAATGATGACCTCTTAAAGTTTTAGTCTCAATTAAAACCTCATCTTTATTCTGAATTCCTGTTGGTCATTTTAACTGTTGAAGGTATCATAGGTATGATGATAAACTACATCCAGCAGCAAGGCCTCTGATCGAGAGATTGGAGGTTTGGAGGAGCATGTAACCACCTCTTAATTGTTGCTGTCCCCAGGTCCACCATGAGTTCAGGGTGGTAGCACCTGTTAGGTCCCAATTATTGGGAAATAGTGAACTGCCAAACAAAAACAAAACACTATGAAAGTATAAAAATATGATATACTACTAAACAAAATCAACCAACCAACTGTTGAAGAATGGATTAGTGAAAAAAAACAAAAAATAATAATGAGATAAAAAGCAACAAAATTAAGAAAATAAAATATTTTTTTAATAATGACTAATTATTTGATCCTATCAAAGAAAGCAGTTTTATTTCTTTGCAATTTTAAAATTTATTTCAATGTCCATAGTTAATTTTTCTAATCGGAAGACTATTCCCTTTTAAGCCTTCATCATTTTCTAATGCTTTTTTTTTAATTCTTGACTAACCATAAGTGACAAAACTTTCATTTATGATTCTGTTTACTCAATCTGTTTCTCTCTCATTTGTTACAGATAATTTTGTTGGTATGGGCCTCCGTACATGGACTGACGGTAGGGGCAATAACCCAATTTTGGGGGCTATTTAAAATAGTAACAATACTCTTTATTACTTGGTTTTCTTGATAATGCCTTTTATTTTATTTTATTTTATTTTTTAAGTCTGAATTGTTTTATTTCCCTTAGCAAAGAACTTATTTTTTTAACTAGGTTTACACTTACTTATTTTAAGTCATGTGAGAAAGAATTCTTGAAGATTCACATATCTGTACATACCAGTATAAACTGACACATTTTTGTTTTGTTTCTTAAAAGAAAAACACCTGACTCTGGATGAGATGACTGAAGTCCTTTTGTGTTTTGTCCTTGGTTTCTCTTCAGCTAAAAATATTTGTATTTTTTGTTTTGTCAAGGACATATAAAAATATTTGTATTTTTTGTTTTTGTCAAGGACAAGTGAGAGGAGATGATGAGATAAAATGGAAAAGCTATAAACAATGCATTTTCCCTGAATATCTGTTGATTTTGGCTTCTTCAGGTCAGAATGAAAGATAAAACTGTGTGTAAGGATGAGTGCATTGGGATCACTTTTTTCCTCTGAAAGTTCTCCACTGCCTTAACCAGGTATTGAACTCACTTCTTTGGGTCTGTCACTGGTTAAGGCAGTGGGGAACTTTCAGAGAGAAAATTAGCAGGAGATAACTGACATCCATCAAACATGGCACGTGGAACTAGAACAGTCTATCCCCGTGATCGAAATAAAGGGTTCAGTTCGAAATTCCAACCACCTGAAGAAGGCTGGAACGTACAACGGCCGAAACGTTGTGACAAATATGGCGACAAAGATGAGGACAATAGTCCGACTAATGTAAATACTGTACATAATACCTCATCTCAGAAATGTAGACAGACTCTAAATTGTTACCCATTTTTGGAAGTTAAAGGGGGGCAGGATTAAGGTCAGAATTAAAAATATACTTGTAGGTATGTCTAGATTAACCAATTAATAGTCATGTTTATGCTAAAATAGAAAAATAAGGTCAGAGTGTGGAGGTGGTTGGGTTATTTTTTTTCATGTCAAGATAAACTGATGCTTCGACATGCCATCCAACAATCGTAGGAAATGGCAGCGACAAATGCATTATGGATGTAGTCAAGTATGATGTTCCGATTTGTTGAAGTAAACAAAGTTTTCAGAAACAAATTTTCTTTTAAATTTTTTTTTTATATTCAGGAAGCTACTTAAAGGGGCCAATAGGTAAAATTAAAAATGTGTAACATGTATATACAATGCTAATTATACTGAATACATGGCAAAACATGTCATTATTAAAATTGAATAAATCGAATAAAAATTGGGTGGACCATTATATACTAATAAGATAATGGCTATACAATTGTAATATGTAATTATTTATGAAAAATTTTTTTTAACTATATTTTGAGGTAAAAGATAGACAATGCTGGCATAACACCATTAATTCATTTCTTTGGTTTAACAGAGCTTTTTTGTAAGTAAACTTAATAATATGCAATTTTTATTGTAAACACAGGGAACATAGATCATGTAAGCATTTGCAAGTTCTATTTTTTTAATATTTCCTATTTTACTGTAGGGGTTTTGTTAACTTCTTTTAAGTACCAAAAATATTTAGAAAAGGACGGTCTATAACAGTACGCATTGTTGTTGAAAGAGAATGCATGTTGATACAACAAATGATATATTTATAGATTTGCAAGATAGATATTGGAGAGAAAAATTATCTCACACAACACAGTGAACTGACTTTCTTAGCAAGCTGACCTAGCAATGGATTCAATATAGTTTTTCCACTTCACGCTGAGAACGATTGTCGGAGAAGGCACAAGTCACTTTCCAGAAGGTTAGCATCAGCCATGCTAATGGAAGGCAGAGCGGTCTCGCAGATGATTAAGTGGGAGAAGTTTAGTTTTGGAAGCATTAAAATTGATGAGCCATCTTTTGTCTCAGTTAATGATGGTCTTGAGGTCATTTTGTACATCAGTTGCCATTTCGACCTTGTTGAACTGATCAACCTTATTATCGAGGCAGGAGTAAATGGTAATGTTGTCAATATAGATGCCAAGTTCAGAGCTGATGTTATCAAGAAGGTAATTAATTAAAATTAAAAACAGTGTAGGATCAAGGATGGAGCCCTAGGAGACTTTCACGTTAGTACGGAAGGATCTAGATGAGTGGCCATTCAGGATAACATTCATTTCAAAATTTGGTAGGAATGGCTGGATCAACTCAAACATGTGCCCAGAGATACCGTAACTTTTCATCTTGTGGAGAAAATCTGAATGCCAGACCCTGTCAAAGGCTTTTGAGATGTCCAATGCTACAGCCCAGGTTTCACGGTTTTATCTAGAGCATGATAGATTCTTTCTGCAATTATTGTCAGTACATCAGTAGTTCACCTGGAGAAATGAAAGCCATATTGCTTGTCTGAGAAAAAGTCCTGCAATGAGAGATAAACCAATTCAGTTTCTCAAAAAGGGGTAGAAGGCTAATAGGCCAATATTTGGATGTGTTCACCAGTTCTTAAAAACTGGAACAACAGATGACAATTTCCAACAGGATAGGAAAGTAGGAGGCAGTAAGGCATTTATTATACAGTTTAGAGAGAACAGGACATAGTTTGGACGCACATTTCATAATGACTATTACAGGGATGTCATCAGTTCTACATGTTTTGTGGGGATCAAGGTTAGAGATGATAACTGACACCATGGAAAGGGTTATATACATATCACTCAACAGAGATTCAGTTCTAAATAGGAAATTAAGATTTTTTTGTTATCTGGCTTAATTGTATTTCTCTTTGTTGTGATTTCCATGAGATATGTTTTGAGGAGAGAGAAAAAAAACGACCATCATAACTGTCAATGGCAATACAAACCAGCCAGTGCGTGGCTGAGAACAGAACATAATGTGGCCTCAGGATTGCCCATAGGAAATACATGCAGGGACACCTACCCATGCACGACATGGCACTGCAGATACCTTGATATTATGTGACTATTGATCGGAGCAAGAGTTACCAAAGCGTTTGAGCTCCTAACAACCAGTCAGAAGCAGCAGCCAGCAAACTGCCAACTTGGTACCCTCACAGTGGAAAGTCACAGCCACTGGCTAGTCCAATCACCAAAAAGTAGAGACAGTTAAAACATTGTGGTCCTGGTAGACAGAGAACCGGTAAAGCATATCTTGATCAGGGAACAAGGGTTGAACCTGAAATTCCTGGAAGGCATGAAGGCCGGATGATAGGTGAGCTTATCTACTCTTATGAATCTGTAAGAAAAAAAAACAAAAAAAAGAGCAAAATAGAAACATACATAAAATACAAGGGAGTTCATATTTAGCCATGACATCATATAAATTCTGATGTCTACTACCAACTAAAAGAAAAAAAATTGAGATGGTAAAACTTAATTCACTCTTGTTGCATCAGTTTCTCAGCATTGATAAACAACAGTAAGAGCAAAATACACACTATTAATAATAGTTTCAGACTATTATTTTTTTAGTGGCTGTGTATTTGGTTCAGACCTTCTGAGGCTGACCTTGGGGTCAGCTGTTAGACAAAATAGGGATGTCGATTTTGATTGGTTGAGCCGAACGTGGGAATGTTAGAGTTAGAAAGTGTTTTCAGTGAGTTAGGGTTTTACACATCATGCAGATGAGATGGTTATTTCATGTCTTGGGGAACTTGCTCCCCAGTGGAGGTTGATAGAGTGACCCCACTGGCTAGTTAAAAATGTACACGTTGATCTTTTAATAAAATAGATAAATTTAAAAATCCCTTTTGTTGAAGTTCTCATTTTACCTGCTGAACTAAAAGAACAATTAGCGATTACCCAGCCGAGAGAAGAGAGGAAGACAGCTTGATCACCTCAAGACCATCAACTAAAAGACCTCTCCAGAACAAAGACAGGTATTCAACATACACAACACATTGAAGGATAGCAATAAACATAAAAAAAAATAAAATAAAATTCAAAGAATGGCACAGACATTTAAACATCTGCAGCAACAAGATGGCACAAGGCAATATAGCTTACGTACAATGGACTCTATAAATACTTCATTCCAATCTTTAAGTTTGACTTATTTTTTTTATGGACAGTGCAGACAAACTTATTTTCAATGGTGGTTTGCTGGAAAAGTTATGGTGACTCTGGAATGGGTTTCAGCTTTCCTTGGCCAAACACTCGAACTTGAGATGGGTGAACAAGTAAGGGGTTAGGGTCCAGGCCAAAAAATCACTTTGGATGGGTAGTGGAGGACATAGTGGGTGAGGTGGAGTGTCCAGAATCATTTACTTGTTATTAGTAGTACCAGGGTAAGGGGCGGGGGTCTACCTTTCATTTTCTTCTTTTCTATTTCCTTTTTAATTTTTTTTAGCCTCTGTTGAAGAATTAAGAGTCAGGCCCCAGTTACCAAAACTAACAAGTCATTCACAAATGAATGACAAATTTCAAACAATATCCACGCACACACACACACATATATATATATATATATATATATATATATATATACATACACACACACACACACAGAGTGGTCCAAAAGTAGGTGGACAGTAAATGTATCTTTTATATATATTTACTGTCCACTTACTTTTGGACCACTCTGTATATATATGGACACCACATATTGCCATAAAACCTGAACATATGAAAGTCAATCTATACATTTTCTTTGTTCTTGAGAATTAACAAAAATATTAAATGTTATTTATTTAGTAGATTGTTTATTTACACTGTTTTTTTTTATTATATTGTTATTGGAATGGTTGACAAAACATCGACCAATTGCCAATTGATTCAAGCTTTGTAAAATGGCAAATAAGGAATTCCTTAGAGTTGGTTCAAATATCTTAATTTCATAAATGATAAAAATTGCATTAGTTCTAAATGTATTGGTTTTTAGAATATCCTAAATATAAAATTATTCTTATAAATAAACAATCTAATAAATAGTGTTTAATATTTTTGATTTTTGTTGTAAATTCTCAAGAAGAAAAAAAATGTATAAATTCATTTTGATCATATGTTTAATTTTTATTCTAATTCTAATCATTACTTTTTAAAACAACAAACCTTGCTGAGGAGTGAAAGTAGTTAAAATAATAAGTTTAATAATGGGAAAAACCATCTTTTTGACACTACGTCTTATTGCAGGAACATTTCTCCATTTTGTTTGCCAAGATTTCTTTGTACTGGTTCTCCTCAATTGAATCAAAATGTGCAAGTTGAAGTGCTTCTATTTCATTCTTCTACATGTGCAGCCTTCATCTTGCTATGCTCACTGAAAGTGCATCAGGACAAATCTTCAATGAACTCCTCACCTCACACACAAATTCATATGCCTCACCCTCATTATTTTTTTTTTTTTAAGCAATTCTTGCTGGAAAATTATTGAAAATACTCTGATTGACATATGAAAATAAATTCTACAGTTTTTTTTGTTTTTTTTTTTTAATTTTTTTTAAGATCTCTTGTGTTGGAAGTATTAAAAATTCATTGAAAATTAACAAAAAATAATGTTTTCTGATATCAAGTGAATTGCAATTGACTTTCTATTTTAATCATAGTTTTTCTTGTCAATCAATCATCTACACCTGGCAGCAAAGCCACTGATTGGGAGGTTTTGAAATGTATAGAACTACCTCTTAATTGCTGCTGTTCCCAGGTCTACTCTGACTCGGAGTGGTAGCCCTTGTTAGGGTCCTAACTAGTCAAATTGTTAACCTTCAAATTGGAGTCAAAGCACTATGAAAGTATAAAAAAAGATTTTTATAATAAAAATACCAGCAATACATTTGTGAAAAAAAAAATATTTCCAGCAATACATTTAAATATATATATATATATATATATATATATATATATATATATTTGTGTGTTATATTCTGTGCTAATAGGAATATATAATTGAAAAACAAGGTGGATAAAATAAGTAAAGGTTTAATGTAAAAAAACAGTACAATAAGAATAAAGGTAACAGTTATGCACAAGGTCATCGCAAGTCAATTCAGTAGTGAGTGCTACTATTGGAAGATCGGTAGTTCTCGCATAAGTCTGAGTTGTACTCAACAGATCTCAGCTAGTGTATTTACTAACCTCCTCACTCAATCAGATGTGGCACAAGGCCGAATTTAATGTGGGGCATCTGAGCCCATAGGCTCAGCCAAAAATTCCCATAGAATCTGTATAAAACAGTTGGGTAGCTGTTTCCCGAGATGAGACTCTGCTCTTTGGCATAGTCTCATCTGGGAATCCTCTCTGCTTAGAGGCAGAGAGTTTGACCAGCACAACTGGAAAAGATCCCAGCTAGTCGGTATTTACTAGCTCCCCACAACCCCACGAGGGTAGATGTGGCAGAAGGCCAAGTTTAACGTGGGACATCCGAGCCCTTAGGCTCAGCCAAAAAATCCTCATAGAACCCGCATAAACAGGATCGGGTTGGTCTACCTCCCCAAACAAGACTGCCCTTCAGCATAGCCTTGTGCAGTTCCTCTCTGCCCAAAAGCAGAGAGTTCGACCATATAGCTGAAAAGATCCCAGCTAGTATATTTAGCTACCCCCCCCCCACGAGGGTTGTATGTGGCACAAGGCCGGTTTAACATGGGTTCTCCAAGCCCGTAGACTCGGCCAAAAATATTCCCTTTTGAACCCATATAAACAGGTTCAGGAGTAGTCTATCTCACCGAACAAGACTCTGCCCTTCGGCGGAGCCTTGTCCGAGTTCCTCTCTGCCCAAAGGCAGAGAATTCAACTGTTTATCTAGAACAGATCCCAGCTAGAGTCTGTAGTTCGTTGACTTACAGATACTTATAGGTAGTTACTACCTATAGTGTAGTCACTCATGGGTATGACAGGTTATTCCGTTACATCAACATATATATTACCAGCAATAGATATGACTCTCAAAAAAAAAAAACCCTCTTTACAAAAATACATCAGTGAAACCTGATCTACAAACTGATTTCTTACAAATACTTATTCTATTCATACAAACTTATCCTAAAAATCTTGTTGGCATTAAATAACCCATAGAGATGTTGATATGCTGTAAAACAAAATAAACCAAACCATCAATCATTTTCATTTTCGTTTCAGCTTCAGTTGGCAATACATGAAAATTAAACCCTAAAATACGTTCATGCTAATAAAAATTATTTTGTCATAACTTTGATCCTTAATTTTGAATTCTAATAATTTAAAAATTTTCAAATAGTTTTAAACAATTTTTTTATTGTTTCTTTGATTTTGTTTTTCAGACACAAAGCAGCCACTTTGAAAACATACCATTTGACAATCTGAAGATGTCTCTGGACAATAAAATTGCCACGTAGACTAACGACTCGCCTTATCAGAAAGAAAATTAGAAAATATTGAACGGAAATTTATCATTGACTTGATTTTATTACTTTGCAAAATGTCTACCGAAAAGACTGAACAAAGTTATTTCCCTTCCATAAATGAAATTTTCTGTTCGACTTTGGAAAAAGGGAATTTTAGAAGCATCCCTTTGATTCCATTTCAATTTCATACCAGAATCTGTTTTAATTTTGTTGTGACAAATGTTTTTATTTTTCGTTTGACCTGGTGTACAATATCTATAAGAATAGCAAGTTCGTTTGCAAAGTGTACAATTAGAAAGGATGTTGTTTAATTTATAAGCAAAGCATTTTTCATCCTAAAATTGCTATATTCATTGAAATTACCTCACTGGTCAGCCCTTCAAAGCTGTGTATTTCAATTAAGCTGTGGTCACATGTTTTCAATAAGAATTTGTGCTGACCAACTTTCATATAACCACATATTCACTACAATCATTGTCATTCAATTGACAAAATGCTAATATCTTTATTTGAAAATATTTTATTGTTCACTTATTTTGACTAATAAGTGTGTCACTTTCTCAATAGATAAATACAAAATCTGGTATCTGAAAGAAAAACCAATAATCAAATAACCATATCCTTCATTTTGCTTACTGTTCACTGGGTCTCATGTTAAGATTGCATGGTCATGTTATCTTTTGTTGAATACTGTGCTTACATGTGCAGTAAAAGGTGCTTGTGTGAATGACTGAAATATAAATTTAAAAAAAAAAAAAAAATTCCTGGCAGAGAATAAATATATTTATAAGATTGAAAGATGAATATATCTTTTGTTGGAGCTAATGGAAGAAGAAAAAAAATTGAATTTTTTCCCTCTTTCCTATTAGCTTTATAGTTTTATCAGAATGGTTGTAAATAAAATAAAATATTGTTATTGACAACAGCCAACATCTCCTTTGTTGAGAAATTTATCTTAATAGCTTCTTAAAAACTACAAGGGAACATCAACCCCCTCTGATTTCCTTATTGTGCTATTCAATTTAAGATCACTGCAGAAATCGTGGTATCTATTTTTCTTAATTTGATTTGAGACTCGCAAATAGACCAATCTTATAAGTAAGCTATTTACTAAAAGTTATAAACAGACATTCCAATAAAATTCCAGTGTGGAAAGCGCCAACAACTTTAATAACACTATTTTTGAGAACTGTTTCTTCTATTTGTTAGTGGTGGAGGGAATTAGCAAACTAGGGCCTTCATGCCTGCCAAAAAACGGTTGAAAGAACAGTTTTGCCATTGACACTGCTATTATTTTAACTACCTTTTCTCATTGGCAATGTTTATTGTTTTAAAAAGTGATGATTAGAATTTTAATAAAACATATGATGAAAGTGAATTTTTATACATACATATATATATATATATATATATATATATATATATATATATATATATATATAATTTTGTTCTTGAGAATTTACAAGAAAAATATTAAACACTATTTATTTATTAGATTGTTTATTTACAAGAATAATTTTATATTTACATTTTAAAAACTAATACAATTAGAATTGATGCAATATAATATTTATCATTTACCAATTTATAAAGAAATGTGAAAAGAATTTTGTATTCATAAATTTGTAAACATTTACTATATTATTAAAATATAAAATGGACCAACTATAAAGAAATCTTTAATTTTTATCATTTTATAAAGTTTGAATCAGTTAGCACTTAGCCAATGTTTTGCTGACCATTCCAAAAATAAAATAATAAATGGTGTAAATAAACAATCTAATAAATAACATTTATTATTTTTGTTGTCAATTCTGAAGAACAAAAAAAATGTATAAATTCACTTTCATATGTTTAGGTTTTATTAAATTTTTTAAACAATAAACATTGCTGAAGAGTGAAGGTCATTAAAATAATAATGGTGTCATGAGAAAAAAACATTCTTTTGACACTTTGCTTTTTTTCAGGCCTGAACATCCAAGTTTGCCAAAAAAACTCTCAAAAGCAACACAAAAAAATTTTTGCTTTTGTTGTTTTTGTGTTGAACAATGTTCGTTTGATGTCTAAATTAAATGCTGTTAAAGTGACAATTAGAAAATTTTGAATGTGCAGTAAAATTTTGTTCTGAGCCAAGTGAATTTGAGACGATGGAAATAAGAGAGTCTTTCATCTTGAATCCAACCAGAGAATTTAGAAAAGTAAAAAAAAAAAAAAAAAAAAATATTATATAAAGCCTAATTTACTTACACCTCTAATGTTTACTATATACTGCAACTAATATTTACTCAAAAACTAAATTTAATGTTGTAATTCAGTGACTTGTTCTTTTAATAACAGTAGGGGGAATGGAAATGAAAGAAAAATTTTAATTTGGTGAATTAAAAATAATTTTCTACTTTTTAATTAGTTTTTGTAGTTAGTGCATTCTCCCTGGATTGTCATTTTGGTGTGTTAATATCTCACTCCATTACTTGATAGAAGAAGTCAGTTAAATAAAATTAAAATGTTCTTGTAAAACCTTTTTTTTTTTCTTTTTGAAACAACCCTGCTTTAAATATCCATGATGAAATTGTATTTGATATAATGCATGAGATATATATATATATAAAGAAATCTGTAGTTTTATATATATATATATATATATATAACAAATGTATGTAAATTGACGTTTGCCTAGTTTTTAGTAACTCGTTTCTGAAATTGTTTCTTTTTTTTTTTCTTCCAAAATCATCCTTTAATTTCTTTTTTTTTTATCCCAGTTATTTAAGCAATACAGAAGGACATAATACACAAGTATTACTAAAATATTTTCTGATTAGTTGCTTTTAAATACCAATAGATTATCAAACAATATTTATCTTCTCTAATTTGGCACTTTTATGAAGTTTGAACACTGTGCATTCACAAATGATGGGAGGGTAAAAAAATGACTGTAAAATTTAATCATATCCAATAGTTCAATGTTTTGTAAATCAAATGCTGCCGCCCAAAAATGAACATTGGATGTTTGGCTGTGTTTATAAGCAGCAAAAATAAAATAAAAGCACATAAATTTTCTGCTATCATTTTGTAATCATCTCCAAATATTTGGTTTGTTACTTCAGGAAGATAGCTTATTCAATAAATAGTTGTAGAGAGAAGGCAATATGGCTGAAATAAGTTTAGAAATATTGGTACTTTATTAGAGATGTCTCATCTGTTTTGGAAGTTTTTTATTTAAAATTTGTTTTGTTTTTGGAATTGAAAAAGATTTCTGTCATTAAACTTTTCATAAAATCTTAACAGTTACAAACTCTAATCAATCACTTTGTATCTCTGTCTTCATCCTTTATAAATAAAATTTCCTACATTTTAAGAAATTGTATTTCACCATGATTATTATTATTATTACTAGTAGTGGTAGTAGCAGCAGTTTGGTTGGTAATGTAGCATCTAATTTAACAGAACTAAAAATACATGCACACTTGTTACATTAATTGCTAAATTGGCTTTTTTTTCTGTGTTTAATCTAAGGTTGTAAGGCAATAATTAGTAAATGGAATTGAAATTTTTAGCAAACAAGAACCTTCATGTCTGCAATAACATGAAGACGTCAAAAGGATGATTTTTCCCATGACATCACTTTCTTAGCTACCTTTGCTCTTCAGTAATATTGTTTTAAAAAGTGATGATTAGAATTGGAATAAAACCTAAACACATGAAAGGGAATTTATACACTTTCTTTGTCTTTGTGATTTTACAACAAAAATAATAAATGCTATTTATTTATTAGATTGTTTATTTACAAGAATCACCATATTTACAACATTCCAAAAAATGATACAATTGTATTAAAACTAATACAATGTAATATTTATCATTTACCAATTTATAAAGAAATGAATATGAAAACAATTTTTTTCATAAATTTATAAACATTTACTAAATTATTAAAATATGTGAATCAATTATCAGGAAATCCTTATTTACTATTTTATAAAGTTTGAACCAATTGGCAATTAGCCAATGTTTTGCCAACTTTTCCAATAAATAATAAACAGTGTAAATAAACAATCTAATAAATAGTGTTTATTATTTTTGTAAATTCTTAACTTTCCTCATATGTTTAGGATTCATTACAATTTTAATAATCACTTTTTCAAAGAAACAATGCTAAAGAGTGGAGGTAGTTAAAAAAAGCTGAATTGTGGGAAAAACAGTCCTTTTGACACTACGGTTTATTGAGGACACAAAGGTTCATGTTTGTCTAAGATTGCACCTAAAATTGATTTTTTTTTTTTTTTTTTTTTTTTTTAAATATAAAAATGAAACTGGATCACTTTAATTTGTTAAATAATATAATATATATAAAATATATAATAATATAATTTTTTGTCTTGTTCATCAACTTATGAAAGGTTGATAAATCATAAAAAAAATAACAAATCAATCTTATGAAATGTTTTTGATGTAATAAATAATAAAGTCTCCTGACAATAATTGCTTAACTGAAATCCATGTGTTAATCCCCTCTGCACTTGCCCTATCTTCTTGCTAGCCTATTTTGCATCTCATTGGTTGATCAGATCCAAATTCTTTGTGATGCTTTCCACTTACATTATTTAATCTGCTTCCCTCATGGAAGAGAATTCAACCAGGCATTTGGCAGCTATGTATTTTATTTTTTTGGTCTATACACCCACCCATTTATCAAATTTAATGGAATATAAGATGCATGGGGGATATAAATGCCAACTCTTTCTTGTCAACTGGGAATATTAAAAAAAAAAAATTTTTTTTAAAAAGTAGTTTTTCTATACAGTCTGGCTTAAATATTAATTTATGGGAAGCATTAACTCCATTTTTAAGATGCAGAATTAATTTTTAAACTACTTTTTCAGGAAAAAAAAGTCATATTCTATGAAAAATGTCTTTGAAATTTGCTGTAGAGCAGTGC